ACACTATAATTTTTGTTGCAAAACACGTGGAGAATTCTTCACAGACTAGTTAATTCAGCTCGGGGAATATACAGTAAATTATAGTCATTAGAGTCGGTCAATTACTGAGTAGGGATCGATTTCTGATTTGTCTAGTTATTTAATACTGACCAAATTATACCGATCACATTGTAAGGTTTTTTTCTGCATAGGGTTTTATTTAGCGATTTAGTTATCTACAGGATGGGGTCACTAACTCCATGCCCAACCCTCTTCCTTTATCCGGGCTTGTAACCGGCAGTAACTCTAGGAGAGCTACAGGCGGATTATAAAGACCTCGACGTTTGCGAGAAAAAAATGGAATACAATGGACAGCTCAGAACCAATTAGACGATTTGAACTTCGCAGATGACCTAGCCCTCCTATCCCATATACACGAACAAATGCAGCAGCCTCTGCATCAGTAGGCTTCAACATACACAAATGAAAAAGCAAGATCCTCAAATACAACACGGAAAACACCAACCCAATCGCACTTGATGGCGAAACTCTGGAAGATGTGGAATCCTTCACGTACCTGGGAAGCATCATCGATGAAAAGGAGGACCAGATGCAGACGTAAAGGCGAGGATCGGCAAAGAAAGGACAGCATTCCTACATTTGAAGAACATATTTAACTCAAAACAACTGTCAACCAGTGTCAGAGTGATAATCTTCAATACGAACGTCAACACAGTTCTGCTGTACAGAACTGAATCTTAGAGAACTACTTCAACCATCATCAAGAAAGTACAAGTGTTTATAAATAGTTGTCTACGCAAGATATTCAACGTCCATTGGTCGGATACCAACAACAGCCTTCTGTGGGAGAGAACAAACCAGTCTCCAGCTGAAGAGGAAATTAGGAAAAGACTATGGAAATGGATGGGACATGCATTACTGAAATCATCAAACTGCATCACGATGCAAGCCCTAACTTGGAATGCTGAAGGGAAGCGGGAAAGAGGGAGGCCAAAGAACACATTACGTCAGGAAATAGAATCAGATATGGAAAGGATGAGCAGGAACTGGAAAGGATTTCCCAGAACAGGATTGTTACGCAACATCTCGAAATATTGGTTACTATTGTTGTAGAGACCCAAACTAGGTATTCTGCACCTATTTACATGTCTTTCAGTGCAGTTGTCAATAACCTAATACATTAATATGTCCTCGTGATTCAAAAGTCTCTAACCTTCTCCAATGTATCACTACACCTTTCAGGTAGTTGGTGATCGGGTATATGTTATACATGTTCCAAGCATCGTACTTGTTAAACTATTGCTACCTGATCAATCAATTCACAAACTTTATCTAGTGCTTTATGCCGAAACTTAGCATTGTTTACTCATCGATTACAATATACATGAGCAATGCCTGGAATACGAATATCCTCTATTCGTAATAACCATAATTCATTATCTGAAAAGTAGAATAGTGAATACTGGTATTAAAATACATGATAGCTACTCAATAAAATAGGTTATATATCCAATAAAACAACACTTATGTCCAACATTATCATGACGACCATCATGATAAGGTATTATAAACTATTTGAGAATATCCATTTGAAGGTCACTTAGTCTCCAGTGAATTAAAACTGTACTCATCATATGGTGTAGGAGTAGGTTGGAAGGAAGCTAGGGGCGACCAGACCATAACATGACACAAATCCATGAAATCATTGACAAGTGGACTGATAGGTGTAGACTACCTGGTTGGGATCCGCGAGACGATAACAACCGATGATTAGCGACCTTGAATGACATGGCTCGAAATCGTTTGTAATGGTGCAGGTACATCCACTCTTTATGTCCTCCTAAATTCTAATCTTCTGAAATATTCATGCCCCTATTTTTTCTCTTTCCAAATTTATTTCACTGGATTATACTTGTTGACTAACATCTTAAAACCATAATCTTTCCGATTACTGCTTATACTCTTACTATCTCTACCACTATGTGATTTGAATCAACAATTGTATCTCTGTGCTAATATGGTATAGCAACTCGAATTGATGTACGTACGTACGTATGTACGAAGTTCTACATTGTTGATAACTGACTGACTTATCATATCAAGCAATACTTGATTATTGTTTTACCCTTGAAATACTTTCAATTAGTATTTCCCTAATTATCTGTAATTACTTTTCATTTGAACAACAATTAATCCATATTTCATAGTATTACACAACATATTACTGATATTCTATTCATCGTAAATAAGTTCATTATAAACAAACGAAAGCAATGGGTTATACTCGTTATTGATATTATATATATATATATATATGACAAATTGTCTCTTGTGTTTACCATTCATTACTTATTATATTGATGTTTTAATGAAATACTACCACTGTATACATATACATAGATAGCTTGTGTATAACTGAATTTGTCGCCTTGTTCACTGTCAAATTACCAGTTATTGGAAAAGTATACATGATTATAATTCATTGAATACTATTCAGTTGATGACTTTATTATTATTTCTTTTTATACTACTTAATCAATATCTCTAACTGTATATATGCCTATTTAGCCTTAGCAACAAATATCATGTTAACATTGTAGAAAGTACATATTGTAAAAAGGTAATAATAACCTCATTTCTAATCATATAAATACATTTAATCATTAATCTTTAAGTAAATATCAAAAAGATTAAATTGCAATTAGTTTATTATTTACATAAATAAAGAGGATCAATACACAATAAAATAATAAATTAACATTAGAGAGAGGTTATGTGAAGATTGTAATCATTGAATTCATAGGTCAATTGAAGCTAGACCATCATGGGCCCACAAATGCTCTGATATGGCTGAAAGTGGGGAGAGTCAAGTCTCCTTCTCGAAATGCTCTCACATGGCCACGTGCATACAACCACTGTCAGGGAAGTCCTACTCACTGCCGTCTTGTGGCGGGCGTGTTCTTTACGAAATTGAAAGGACGAAAAGTGGATGTCCGACGCTTTAAACGGGTTGGTGAATACGAAGGACCCACCTAGGGGAAGTTGGAAAACCCTCATTCAAAACCAATGGTGCTCATGGGCTCCAGGATCCCGATGACCGGCTACCATGGGACTGCATCTCTTTACGTTGCTCCACTGCCTTATGGACCAAACCTTCAGGCTGAAGGCTCCATTTGTGGTTCTCTAAGAAAACCACCTGTTTCGGTTTCGGCACCCGAGTAGTATCACAGCTTACACACAAATCAAACGACTTGTGTGGCACATATGTATTTGGTGTCCCTTTGAACTAATATTTATGTGTTCACATAAATAAATTATATCACGGGATGCATAAACGTTTATGTGTTCACATAAATAAAATAAAATAAGACCATCATGGAAAACCTGAAAGTACTGAACAGCTGTTTTATTCCAGCAGTGCGTATCCACGATTCCGCCCCGCAATATTCGAATCTAGGACATATTATTCTCGAACGAGAACGCTTAAACTTTAATTTATTGAGCAGTGGTTTGAACAGTTGATTGAAGTAAAATTCGATAGAAACTTTCAATATAAATAAATTATGACGAGTAGATTGTAATTAAATGATAATCATAATAAAATCCAAATCTAGTATGATTAGATAATTACAAAACTATATTGAAAAGTAAAATTAATATTACCATTAGACGATCGTCGATCTTTGTCACAAATTGTTATAAGTTGTAATTGTACCATTGATAATTAAGTGCTCATTTCAGTACCACATAGTTCTCAATTCAAATACATACAGAGTCTTATGTGTACAGCTATTTGGTTCTCTTTAGTTTTTAATGGGCCCCTAATTAACATTGAATTATAATGAGTACAACCTACAAATTGAACTAAAATTTCCACAGTTCTGTCCGACTAAAATTGATAAATATTTCATGTTTACTTTCTTGAAATGTAATCTCTAAGGAAGATTAAAAGTCTGAAAACGCACTACTTTATTGGTCAAAGCTTCATCGGTTATGTATGTGTGTGTGTGTGTGTGTCGATATTCATCTGTAATGTTAAGTATTGAAGGGATGGTTGTGATTTTTTATTTTAATGTTGACAGTATGACCTGGCTCAATAAGTAGGTATTTGTGTACAAATTTGAATTGTTTTGATTTCTTTTGTCTATGTTTTCTTGTTTGGCCAGATGAATGAACAAATCGTTGGTACTTTATCAATTGTATTCTTAATTTGATTTACTATTTCCTTTAGGGAAATAAAACTATAATTGGATGGATTGATTCATTATCTATTTTGGGTATTAATAAATTGATGTGTTTGTTTTACAATCTTTCTAACAATCTAATAAGCGTGGAGTAAGCAGATTTTTGTTTTGACTCCCAATGGAGCATAGGCCGCCGACAAGTATTCTCCAACCCACTCTGTCCTCTGCCTTTCTTTCTAGTTCTATCCAATTTTTTTTTCATTTTTCTCATGTCTGTCTCTATTTCTCTTTTCCTTCAACCTTGAAGATTCCATGTGACGGCTTGCCTTGTGACGCAGTTGGTTTACTGACCTCAATGTATGTCCTATCCACTTCCAGTGCTTCTTCCTGATTTCTTCCTCCGCTGGGATCTGATTTGTTTTCTCCCACAGTAGGTTGTTACTGATGGTGTCTGACCAAATGATCCGAAGTATTTTGCGTAGACAGCTGTTAATAAACACTTATTTCTTTTTGCATGATAGCTTTCGTAGCTCTCCAGGTTTCCACCCCACATAGTAGAACTGTCTTGACATTTGTATTGAAAATTCTGTTCTTGGTTCGACTTGTAAGCTACTGATCAAATGTGATTTTATTAAAATTTGATGATATCTGATTTGTTGTAGGATGTGTAGGATCAATGTAAACGGCCGCCAATATGCTTCTTACATGAATTTTTAAAGTAACTCGTTTATAATTCTTTGGTTCCGTTTTTCTAATCAATCGAACAGATGATAGTTATTTATTCACCAATGTTCAATATACGTATTTTTATTTCAGGGTAATGGATCAGAAGCAAGTCATATTGCCAATACACTTAGTACAAAATTAAATCAATTATCTAGATTATGTAAAGATTTATCATTACGTGATCATAATGGTGGCGGCGTTGGTGATCAACAGCATCACACATGTAATCCATTATTTCGTTTGGCTAGAACACTTGAAGGTAAACTAGTTCAGGCTCAACGTTGGCTAGCTGATCCTCGTGGTCCATTACGTCATGTTGGCTTAGAAGCATGTCGTTCATTAGCTCAAGGTGCAAGAAGTATTATAATGTCGTCTGATAGTAATGATGTTTCTGCCAATAACAATAAAATAAATGCTAACAGTAGTCCGTCTGAAGACAAGGGGACCAATGATGTTTGTTTAGAATCATGTGAACATGTTGAGAGAGTTTCTGACAAACTTTTTGCAATATCTTCTCAACCATTAAGTAAGCACCATTACTATTATTTCGCTCTCTTCTATATATGTTAATCCAATGTACAAAATATTGATCATATACAAGTTCCACACTTGTTTTCAGCATGCAAAGTAAATACAGTGAATTTGAATATTTTGAATAATCTCAGTTATATTAGGTATATGTTTTTTGTATAGGAGTATGATAGTGGTGCAGTTATTCGACATTAAACTACTAAGTCGCAAGTTCAAGTCCTACTCCTCCATTTTCGCTTCGGGCAGCCATGTATCATCTCTTAACTATCCTACAAAAATTGTAACCGAAAACCGAGTACACATATATATATATATTTTGAATAAGTAACAAAATGTATGTCTCTTACTCTAGAACCGTGCTATTTTTGTCAACATCACCGGGAAATCAAAAATAGACATGTACATCAAGAGTCACTGAAGTTCTCACATGATAAAGACATATACAAATGACTTAATTGGTATGATCGAGATACCATCTAATAAACACAAATTAAATATCGATATAGGGTTATGGAGATTGTTAAGCTTTTGATTGAGATCATAAATCGATCGATATTAGATCACCGTTAAATGCCAACTCAGTTTTCTGGAGTTTAACTATTTGTTTACAAGATCAAAGGTTTCTAAGTTCGAATACCATAATTAAGATCATGAATGTACAAATTTTTTTGAATGATGATCTAACATCAATCAATTCATGATCTCAAACAAATTAAAATCATGTGAAAAATGAATGGCATTATTAATTAGCAAAATTTGGTAAGTAGAAAATATGTACGTGGGTATTATTCATATGGTAAATACCATGAAACAGTTGATCTAATTAATCACTATGTAAATGTTATTATCACATGATCAATCTAAATAGTTTACATTTTCCTAAGAACTAAATAAGAGATCAAAAGTACATTTTGGTATTGAAAATAACTCTTTATTTGTTCATGTTGATTTATTGATAGTGTATAAAATAACAATGATACTCCTTCATTAACATTTTAATTTGCTTATATCTCTATTTAGCCCCTAAATATGCCCTGATATGGCTTGAGGGTGGGAAGAGATAGCTCTCTCTCTCTCTCTCTCGAAATGGTCATGAGTATATAGCCACTGTCGAGGAAGTCTTACTCATTGCTTTCTCGTGGCATTACTGTTGTTTACGAAATTGAGAGGACGAAAAGCGAATGCCTGGCGCTTTAAACGGATTAATGGACACGTGTAGGGTTCACCTATGAGATTTGGAAAACCCTCATTCCAGACCAATGGTGAACATCGGCTCCAGGATCCTGAAGGATGAAATGGTCTATGAAACAATAGTTGGTCGTCGGCTAACATGTGACTACATCTCCTTATGTTGCTCCACTGCATTGTGGATCAGACCTTTAGGTTAAAGGCTTGGGGTGTGGTCCCCTAAGAAAACCACCTGTTTCGGTTTGGGCACCTGGGTAGTATTATCACAGCCCACATACAAATCAAGTGACCTGTATTCAGTGTCTCTTTGTACCAATATTTATGTGTTCAGTTAAATAAATAAATGTATTTAGATTATTGAATCACTATTTACACGCGTTATTCGATCGTCAGTGATTATTTTGATGTTCACTTACGATATACAAGAAAAAAAGGAAGCTGAAAAAGCCATTTGAACATATATTCTTCGCGGAACATGTTGGTGTTCGAAGCGGCATGATTGTTGATACGTGGTTTCAGTCAGTATATGTATATGACGTTTAATTTTAAATGTATAAATCCAATGATAAACTTCATTGAATATAGGTCTCAAGTTAGAACAAAATAGTTTACCATATGATCCGATACCCCTCATTGATTATCCGAATGTGATGTCGATTCCTGTTGGATGGAAGTTCTATATTTCAACTATCGAACGATAGTTTAGCTTACAATTGATTGTATATAATCAGCAGGATACTTTAGACCTAATTTTCTTGCTAGTTGTGTAAAATCTTAAGGAATCTGATGTTCTCAGTAGGATCTAACCAAACACCACCCAGCTCCACAATCTGAGACTTGACCACTAAACGTTTCAGGCAGCAACTAACTTCACGTAGGACTGACATATTGGCAGCCGATTGATCACGAATCAGTGACAAATGTCATGTTTGTCTAGTCCTTGGTGCTCATGGAATTCTATCAATGAAGTTTCAGCATGGTTACTTGTCTATGTTACTCGGGTTCGAATCCCGCGCTTTGAATCAGTTCCTCCAAGATAACAGGTGCACTTCCTGCCAACCTTAGAACATCCCAACATCATGGATGTGATGCTGATGCTTAGATCGGTGGTCACATTTGAGTTTGATCGATAGGACTTTATCAGGATTTAGGATTAGGCATACATGACATTGATAACTATTCAGTTATTCTTTAGTTATAAATGAATACCAATTTTCTGTTGTTGCTTCATATGATGTCAGTTCATGACGAAAACTATGGACGCCTTAGTTGTAAGTTTAGTATTCAACCAATGAACGGTAAGTTTGTTTTACAACTAGTTGGATGTTACAGCCTTTTCTCTCTATCTTACAATACTTTGATTTGATTGCCTCATTAAGTAATTTTTATGTTTGTTTGTTTGTTCTTTTTTCTTTCTGTATAAAATTATCAGCGGCAGAAAATGAAATCAGTCAACAAGATTTAGCAATGGCTATCAGTCGTAGTTTGGCGTATATATGGCAAACATTAGAGAAATTATTAACCACACAAATTGCTGAAGTCTACACAGATCTTGTTGGACCATTACGTCAATTAGTAGAATCTGCATCTCCATCATCTGGTAATTTACCAGATCAAAATGATTACAATGTGAAAATGAAAGAATTTCTAGTAAGTGTAAATTAAATCTACAAACTATGAATTACACATACTAATTGTATGAAGCCGATAATTTACTAGTTATGAAGTATTCAACTTTAAACAGGATATGTTATAGATTCAAAATCCTGTTCATTAAATTTGGTTTAAATACACGAATATCCGGCGCTTTAACCGAGTTAGTGGATATGGAAGATCAACTTAGGGGGGTTGGAAAACACTGTTTCCAAACCAATCGTGCACATGGGCTCCGCTATCTTGAGGGGACAAATTGAGTACGAACCAATTATTGGTGATCGGCTGCCGTGGGACTGCACCTCTCGATGTTACCCCACTGCCTTATGGATCAGACCGTTAGGTCGAAGGCTCCGGTTGTGGCCCCCTGAGAAAACCACCTGCTTCAGTCTGGGCACCCGAGTAGTATCACAGCCTACATACAAATCAAGTAACTTGTATAGATCATATGTATTCGGTGCCCATTTGTACCAATATTAATGTGTTCAAATAAATAAATAAAGTACATTCATGGGTCAATATCTATTGCTCTTATTTGTATGTATACTCCCACTGTAAAGTTAATAAGTTTCATTATACAGATACAACCTACAGTAATGTCTTTCATTATCTTGAAACTCGAATACAAATTATGACTAACGCTAAGTTTAATATCCTGAAGTTATTCATGATATATATTTTTTATTCATTCATTTTGACTAAAACATAAAAACCAGGATACAACAATCTGTATGATTGAAGGTTATTTGGAATATATCTTGAATTCATAATATAAATGGGGATGGATCGTGAACATTAGTGTTATGGTTCGTTAACTTGAATGCTACTACTGATTCGTCTTACTCGAACGGAACGAAGGACCAATGATACAGAGACTCGATAGCTATCCTGGTCCGTTGCCCCCAACTCTGCTAACTCGATTAAGAAGTCTTGGTAAGGTGTAGAAAGTGTATTCTACCGACAAACAACAGATAACAAATCAAGTCAAGCGCACAAATCAAGCGTATTTATAATCGATATCGTCATGAAAAGGTTTTGAACATTAATCAATAAGTTCGTCAATTGACTCCTATTTAAACATTCAATCGATAGTTCATCAATTGACCTATTTGCACATTTAATCGATAAGTTCATCAATTGACCCCCATACAAATATTTAAACATTTAATCGATAAAATTACAAAATATGAGTTTTGGGGATCTATTGTCCCCAACAATTAGCTTCTTCTATTATTTGTGGTCTAGTAATTTAATCATTTAACTGTTAATAATTGACTAGTAAAGGTTTGTGATTTCCCAATGTGGATATTTAGGACTACTATTGATTACTCTCCATTATCATATTTGCATCCTTAGCGGACTACTCCGACATGACATTTAGTCACAAATTATAGTATACCTTAGTGGATGTGTTGTTGATTGGACTTTAAGTTATCGAACCAAATTATCCATCTGAAAAGACCGTAACAGGACGAAGAACGCTTTTTTGTAGTTCACTACTAGTCAAATATCAAATATAATATTTCAATAATCATATCACAATTTTGAATAGTATTCTCTATCTTATTCAATAAATCTTGAAGTTAGACATTAACTTCGTTGGATGCTGGCTGGCTCAGTGGCCTAGTATTAAAGCGCTCGAATGCGAGACTAATAGGTCCTGGGTTCGAATCTCGCGAGGCGAGATCGTGGATGCGCACTGTTGAGCAATCCCACAACAGTCGTCCAATGCTCTCAGGTTTTCCATGATGGTCTAGCTTCAATTGACTCATGATCTTTATCCAACTCACATTACTATGGTAACATATATATATTCATTCATTTGATCAAGACATATGCCATATCTTCTTCTTGAAGTACTGATGATCTCTCTATGATTCATTGAATCATTACGATAACTTCAGTTATTGTTGTGTTTCTTTTGTTTCTATTTAGTAACTCTTACTAATTGATAATATAATCTAGAATTTGAAAGAAATAAGATTAGTTTCTTGCAAATAATCATATTGTATTCTATTTTATTTCTAGTTTGTTTATTTGTCTATATAAGTTAGATTCAATTGTTTACTTTAGATGTATATGTTTAGTGATCATTTATAGTTATAGGTAAATCAAGTGAATAAGTTGTTGTGTTTATCTTCTTCTTTTACCATTACTATATCTTCATCATCATCGTCGTCGTCATCATCATGATCTTCTTGACTGATCATAACAGATTTCTCTTGTTCTTAATTGACACTCAAAAGTATTTTAAGGTAAACAAATGTAAGAATAGGTTTAATGTGTTTACCAAGAATTTTTCAACTACTAATGATAGAAGATTATATTACTGTATAGATGTATTGGAGGTAATAGATGGAAAAGAATTTGTACGAATTATATATATAAAAATGATTATTATTGATAGAATAAGTTCTAGATAATGGCTACTTTAATTGTATAAGCAAATATAATTACCAGAGCTTAGATATGCAAATAAAATGAGCTAAAAATACCCCCAAATTCCGTGGTACGGTCGAGTGTGGGGAGAGTCAGTTCTCCCTCTCAAATTACTCTCACATGGCTATGCGTATATAGCCACTGCTAGGGAAGTCCTACTCACTGCTTTCTCATAGCATTACTGTTGTTTACGAAATTGAGAGGACGAAAAGCAAATATCCAGCATATAAACCGGGTCTGTAGATATGGAAGATCCACCTAGGGGAGTTGGAAAACCTTGATTTTAAACCAATGGTCCACATGGGCTCCAGTATCCTGATGAAACAAATAGCATATGAACCAATTATTGATGACCGGCTACCATGGGACTGCATCTCATTAAGCTTACCTACTACCTTGTGGATCAGACCTTTAGGTGGAAGGCTTGGGGTGTTGCCCCCTAAGAAAACCATCTGCTTCGATTTGGGCATCCGGACAGTATCACAGCTCATACACAAATCAAGTGACTTGTGTGGCGTATATGTATTCGATGCCACTTTGTATCATTATTTATGTGTTTAAATAAATTATAAAAATAAACTAATGAAAATTATTGTCATCATGAAGTATCTCTTCTAATGAATAAATTGAACGATAGTTTCGGTAAAGTGAAATAAATATTCAGGTTCTCCTGTTGTAATTGATTGTTAGTTGATACATCAATATTGTCTGGAGTTTTGAAGTAATGCCTGAATTTAATTCTTGCGAACCATCATCTAATTATTTTCTTTGTCAATTTTAATTGTTACTAAAATTAATGATATTAACGGAAACCTTCTAGAACTTTAAAGCTATCGGTTGTTATTTAAATACACCTTATATAAATAAACCAACTAGATGAATGATTAAGCATAAATTACTTATGAACTATTAGTTTATTGTACTCATGATCCAGACACGCAGTGTGACAGTTAGTGATGCGTCTAATTAGTTGTGTTTTTTTCAAGCGGCAGGTTTTCTTGACTCCCTTATCAAGTACATATTCGTATACTTAGCTTTGAACTGTACTCTGCTTATGTGGGCTAGTGATACTAGTCAGGTGCCCATATTGAAGTGGGTGCATCATGGTTGAAACCGACGACTAAGTTATTGAACATGAAACATCTTAACCACTGAGTCACCAATTAAAATCTTAATATTTTAAAACTATTGTATTTTGTAGATAAATTGTATCTCATATTTCCGTTTTACACTTCATTCGATGTTTGAATACAGAAGGTTAAGTATCAACTCAAGCTTCGTGGAGCTTGTTTTACGTTCGTATACCCGGGCACCTCGTGGCACCGTCTGGTTTTGTTGGTGTTGGTGTCGCATTAAAGTCAGATCTACAACACGTTGCTGAGAGCAGTTTTGCCCTATGCTTGTGAAACCTGGCCTCTCCGAGTTGAGGATGTTAGACGACTCTCTATTTCATACACATAGTTCCCTTTAATAAACAGAAAAAAGAGGATTTCCGACATCCAGTGGCAACATCATGTTAGTGATGCAGAGGTTCGGCATTGTGTGTTCGAGAACAGCAACGATTATTCAATTAGTGTCACTTTTTTGAAACACCGACTTCGGTGGCTTAGATATATCTTATGGATGTCGTCTCAAAGAATTCCACGTTGTCTATTATTTGTCGACTCTGGGACCGGTTGGAAAAAGCGGAGGTGGTCAGTATATGACACTGTGTCGTGGTATGAAAGGAAGCTGTATAGGACTTGCTTCTGTTAGTCCTTCAGGACTGCCTGCTTGGGATCCTAGTAATGGTGCAACAAAGTGGCTAGAGACGTTATCGGATATGGCTTAGAATAGAAGCCAGTGGTGATCCTGCTGTAACTTGCCTCTACTTTCTTCATAAAAGTAAACGTAGCTTCTTTAACTGGAGTAATTCTTTCTGGTTGTATTTTTGTTAACTGAACTGTCTCTCCCATTATTATTTCACTCTCATACATTAATTTCTGTTTTTTATTGTTCCTTTTATTATACTCACCTCACGTTCTCTATCTCTTCACAACCTTATTATTATTGTATGGCCCAAATGTATTTGTTGCCTCGTTGTACTCGATTGGTCACTGCTTCTCACTAGAACTCCAGGATATATATCTTGAAGCCAGTCACCGGTGAGCATATGTTGATTAGTATTAGAAGGGGTTTTGTGGAGATTGTGTTAATTTAAACAGTTGAGATCATGAGTCAATTGAAGCTAGACCACCACAACAACAAAAACTGTAATTTTGTAATTCCGTATATTTAATTTTCTTATAACATAACTTCTTGATCTAAGAATATATTCACTTATAAATTGTATTAATTTGTATTAGACGCAATGTAATCAACTTGTCAATACTGGAGAATTAGCTGCAGCTACAAAATTATCTGATGTATGGCGTTCTGATGCATTACGTTGTTTAACTAGTCAACTTAATGAATTAGGTGCACAAGTTGTATTAGCTGGTCGTGCAGTTATCCTATCAGCTGATCCAAATTTACAATTACAACCTGGTGGAGCTAGTTTGAAACAAGCCACGTCAGATCATTTTCTTATGATGCGTCAACATTGGACAGATACTGCTGAACGTATGAGGGCATTAGTTGATGAAGCTGTTGATGCTAATGCATTCATAGCTGCTCAAGGTAAGTTGCACTTATACATATCAAATGTTCTTTGGACTTTGTAATTCAGAACAATTGATTACTTATTGTTTCATGAATTAATCATTACTTATGTGTTAAAATCCAGTTGTTACAAGTTGTATGTTAAATAACTGTGATCTAATACACAATGATGCATTTATTTAATTTGCTATACCCGTGATCACCGGGTAAGTAGTAGTGAGGTTGGATGCAAGGTACTAGGGAGTGATGGTAAATCAGTTGATGAGGTTGTAAATCTTCATCGACTGAGATGGTTGGGTCACGTGTTACGTATCCCTGAACACTGACTGTCACGACGCGCACTGCTGACTAGTGTTGGAGAATGTTGGAAGAAAGTTAGGGGAGGCCAAACGAAAACGTGACATCAGTGCTTGAGGTCACTAACTTCTAGTCTGAACCATGTTGGTCGATGCAGACTACTTGGTTGGGTTGCGTGTGACTGTCGTAACTATTGATTGGAGACTATATGACATGACTCAGAATCGATCACAATGGCGTATTTGTATACACTCTCTATCTTCACTTAAACTATGAGATTAAAATCCTTCATGTCTTTCTTTTTACGAACTAATTATTTCTTTATGTATTATATCCTTATGCACAATCTTTCTTTTATGTATATTACTACCATTGAATTAACTACTTCTATGAATCTGGTGTTCATGTTGTTGTGCTAATGAGTGAGGTGTGGCAACTTGGACCGATGCATATATGTGTGTCTGGGCCTACATTGTAGCTGAATGACTAAAATATGACTTTGAAAATAGTAAAATCAAAGATTGTTTATATTGCGTCATGTAAGTGTGTGTATTTACTCGTTTCTGATGTTTTGGTATCAGATATATTTTTTATTTCATCAGTGTTAGTCCAAGTTTAACTTACTTACTACGCCTGTTAACCCTCATGGAGGAGCATAGATCGAGTTCAAGTTTAAAGTGATGTCAAATTTTATATTCTTCTCATTCACTAGTTCAGTGCCTCAATGAATAACAAGGTGTCTGTATTTAACACTAATTTGTGTATATGTGAGTCTCTTAAATGGTGCCAGTTTCATCATGATCACATATATACACTTTCTATTATGTCCTAATCCGTACAAAATCAGATCTAGAGTTTCTTACTACTTGTTTTCGACTATCTGTCAATGGTATTAAACTGTTATTATGTCATTTTATTTCGATTTCTTATATTAGCAATCACTTTTCATGAGATATATTGCCTGGAGGTCGCCAGATCTATTTTACTAGTTACTGCCACCAACCATTATAACGTAATAAATCTGTTTTTAGTTGAAAGTTGTATTAATTATTCCTCATTTAAATAGAAACTAAATAACCTAGCTTTGTCCATTACAGCCGATTTTGACATGAACTAAACTGAAATTTATGAAATGTTCATATCCATATATCAAATTTAATGAAAATATCTGACTTCATTCGTTATCCCTCATTCATTATTGCAATTTGTTGTCACAATAATAGTGCACGATCATGGGCTCCAGAATCCTGCGGGAACGAATGAATAAATCGTTGGTCACCGGCTACCATGGGACCGCATCTCCTCACGATGCTTCATTGCCTTGTGGATCAGACCTTTAGGTCCAAGGCTCGGGTGTGGCCCCCTAAGAGAACCACCTGCTTCAGTCTGGGCACCCGGGTAGTATCCCAGCCCTCACACAAATCGAATGATTTATGTGGTGCATATGTATTTGGTGCCTCCTTGTACCAATGTTTATGTGTTTAAATAAATAAATAAAATAGTGCACGATCATTACTATAACCATAAAAATTGTCAAACGAGACTATAATCTATGAACGACATTAAGCGTTTCTAAAAGTGACCTTGAGTGTAATTTCAGCCAGTTATTATGTTCAAAATAGGGTTAGTAATGAGGATTAGGAATTGGTTCAAAATTAGTTTTTGAAATTTGGATTAAGGGTCTTCATTACAAACTTAGATCAGTTTTAATGCGAAAATGCTTTGTTTGTCATATGGCTGAATAAGGTCGGCAAAAATGTCCAAGAGATGTTATCTTAGATCTGATTGATTCGCTCGTAAATTATAGTTTCGTTGTTAGTAAAAGATATCTTCCAATCGTCAATACAAGCCTTAAAATGACATTATTTAATACTCATATTTTGTAGTTAATCAATCATTGAGTAGTGGCTAGCATTACGTTTGCATAGCCCTTTAGTGCAGATCGATTTCCGTCTATTAAGTTACAATATAACCATTGATTTGAGTAACTCGACACTGCGTTCACTATGTTGAAATGTTATAGTCGCATCCCGACTACCTTTACCCACCTAATAATCTTATTCTATATAAAATAGCTAGTTTCGAGAAACAGTTTGTACAAGGTATATTATAAAGACCTATTGTTGAATATTATTCATTTGAAATGATTTTCCCCACAGTGATATCGATTTGAAATATATTACCACTTGAATACTTCTCTTATATTAAAGTCTAAACTGCTGTTTTAGAGGTACCAAACTAGTATAAACCAACTATTTACTACTCTATCTTTTTCATTTGTTCTTCTGCTACTGACAACTAGTTTGTAATGTATAATAATCTAATGATCATGAGTCACTTCATTGGAAATCCAGTTCATCTAATGCTTTACAATGTCAATCTTACTTGTAATCACTTCAGCTTTTGTAACCTAGTGTATATCCACCAAGAGTTTCACAAAAAATATTGTGACCTTAAGTTAAGTACACAAACCTCAACCTAATAAGTGAATCACTTTATTATCAACGATTGGAATTAGTGATGGCAACAATTTGACTAAGTAAAAAAATGTATTATCGGTTATTAAAACTACAATTAGGTTCTGCGTGAGAACCATGATCAGTGGTTGGCGGTGTTCAATGATATGGTTCGAAACCACTAATAGTGGAGTGAAATTAGTCACTGTTGATCTTTCGTTGTATTTTAAATTACACTTTTAATCCATGCATACCTTATCATTCTGTCTTTCTGAACTATTTCCTCACCATCATTTTGATCATTTGATCCTATCAGGCTGATATAATATGATAGCTTTGGTTAGATCCTATGTTGATTCTGACTAACCGACTAAATAACATTGTAGATATGCTTTTTCACTCGATTGGATGTACATTTGCAAAACTCAACAGATTAAGAAAATTTCAACGGTTGAGATCATGAATCAATTGAAGCTAGACCACTATAGAAAACCTGAAAGCATTGAACGGTCGTTTCGTCCTATTGTGTGGTCAGTCAGCTAAAACGTAGGACCAGACACATATGTGCATCGGTTCAACTTGCCATACCTCATTAGCACAACAAGATGAACACTGGATTCATAGAAGCAGGTACTGTAATGGTAATAATATATAAAAGATTGTGTGTAAGGATATAATTCAGGAAGAAGGAATTAGTTCGTAGAAAGTTAGGTATAAAGTCATTTCAATCCCACGATTTATGGGAAGACAGAGAGTGTATACACCTTCGCCATTATGATCGATTCTGAACCATGTCACCCAGAGTCTCCATCTATTGGTTACGGTAATCACGCAGACCCCAACCAAGTAGCCTGCTTCTACTAATATGGCTCAAACTAGAAGTTATCGACTTGAAGGACTGATGCCACGTTTTGGTTTGGCTACCTATTGTGGGACTCCTCAGCAATGTGCATCCATGATCTCTCCTTACGAGAAAAAGGTTAAATGAATGGTAGTTTTCATAGTTAGTTTTTAAAAAAATACATTTTCAACTTATAAGATATTACTTATATTACTTATAAACAGATTGTTTTGTTTTATAAACCTTATTATCTCATCATTTAACCAGATATATAATATGAACTTATGACCTGATTATATAGTTTGTTTAACAATTACAATATAAGGTTGTGGATTATTTAGTATATATAAGGTGTGTTAAAGTAATCTGTGTCCTTATCGAAATTTCTTTTATTTTTTTCTTTGTCAATTATTTTGTATTATTTATTGCACGTTATTTTTGTTATCGATTAAAGGCAATGCTGAGATAAAACATCAAGTTTTAAGATAAATGGCAAATAGGTTTGATTGTATGATTGTATATCTTCATTATTGACTGAGATAGTTAAGATATATACAAACATATGCCTTACTATTATGCAAAGATGAATAGTGATTAGCAATGGAATCCAGCATAAAGCGTGTTTCTTCCTATTTGGGACTCGTCAGCTCAATGTACCTGCATCTCAGAGTTGATGTTCACTATGGAGCTCGAACTCAGTAGCATTCGCTTCAAACTCCATAACGTTATTCACTTAGTTATTGAGTCCTGATAGCCACTTGCTTGTGTAATAGGCTGAAGTTTGAATTCACTTGACTGTCATGGATCAGTATCTTATTGGTATACGTGCATACTGTGCGTATTGCCTGAATTCACAAACTTTATATGCAAAGCTGGATAATGGCTAGCAGTGGAATCCAGGACACGCGTTTCATCCTATGCTTAACTACTACTTACCTTGATGCAGGATAAGAGAACAAGTTGGAGGAAAGCTACGGGTGTCCAAATTATGACACTGTTGATTTCTTTTATCTGAAGCATGCTGCGAAGCATCACATTTACCTGATTTGATTCCAAGTAACTATCATGACCAATGTTAAGTGATATAACTTAGAATTAGTCATAAGTTTCGACCTTGTGCTCAAATGTTATCTTGTTTTCTATTCATTAAATCAGTTTCTTCTTTAGTCACATTATGCCTATATCTCATCATTTATTTCTCTATTACTATCAGTAACACTGTAGTGAAGGAGAACACGGTGAGTGAAACCGAATAATATTTAGCACAAAATTACAGAGTTACTTGGTAAAATAAAAAAACCATACTATAATACTTAATTTGCAAAATGTTCAATAATTGTCTCGAATTTCGTTGTTCTTGCATTTCCATACTAGTTGCTTTCTATTCCTGCTCTTCCTTTCTTGATCTTCCCCATCTTCTGCTGCTAGACATTACTTTCCTGACTCGCATCATATACTACTTATATTAATATAAGTAGCACGCACCACAATATTACTGCTTATGATATTGTGATTCTTATTTTAATAATTCCATTTCATTGTACTCATGTAGTTTGGCAACTTAAACGGATTCAACTTCTTCATATTTCGTTAAATGACTATTCTAATATAAATCTTATTTTGAAAATAAACTTTCATAGATCCATATATGTTGTGATGCGTTTAAGCATAATTTTCTCATATTAGATCATTGTATTTGTTTGATCCATATTATTCATGTTTACATTTCGTTGATGTAAACATATCTATGCTATAATACTTGATATTTATTTAATATGTATAAAGTGGTTTAATTTTTTTAGAGAATATGTATTTCATTATAGGGTTGTAGCGATTGTTGAGTTTAGATTAATATAATGAATGAATCAATGTTAGACCATCATGGAAAACCTAGAAGCACTGGATAGCCGTTTCATCCTATTATGGGACTCCTCAGCAATGTGAACCCATGATCTTGCACGCAGGACTCGAGCCGAGCACCTTCAGACTCGTGGACGAACGCTTAATCGATTCTGAACCATGTCACATACAGTCTTCAACTATTGTTGGACGGCAATCAAGTAGTTTGCATCTACTAACATAGCTCAGACTAGAAGTTAGTGACTTTGTGGACTGATGCGACGTTTTGGTTTGCCCACCCCTAACTTTCTTCCAACCATCCCCAACATTAGCATCGGGCGTCGTGGTAATGGGTGTTCAGGCATACGCAGCACGTGGTCCAACCATCTTAGTCGATGAAGATTCACAATCTCATCAACTGATTTACCATCACTTTCTAATAGTCTATGTCTAATCTCAGTGCTATCTACCCGGTGATCCCAGCAGATGCGAGTAATATTTCTAATACATCTGTGGTTAAATACTAGTAGCTTACGAGTATCTTCTACTCCTAATGGCCACGTTTCCCAGCCGTAGAGTCGAACAGAACGCAGTATACTTTTCCCTTAATTGATAGAAGGAATGACAAACAATTCACATTTAACACGCAGCGTTTCATAAGATATACACAATAAGTTTTAACTACTTTGTTAAATTTCCCAACCATGCAAATAGGTAATTAGTGTATCAGTATTCTTTACACAAACCTTTTCTCAGAGATAATTATAGGAAATCTCCCTTCATCTGGTAGATTAGTCACATGTATTATCCACTAAAATTCGTGGCATTTTAGATATCTGCGTTAATAACCTGTCACCTATAGACGTAGCTGACATCTTTAGCATCTAAATTAACGGTTTCTTGAAGAATTCGATTGTACCTATTAAATAGTTAATTTTCTTTAGTTAAAAGGCTTTTACTGAAATTAGTTTGATTGGTAGGTTATATTCATCACAATAGTTCTAATGGTTAAAAATCTGCAAAATTTGAGGGTCCTGTGTTCACTTTTAGGCTTGATAATGGGTACGCACTGCTAAAGAATTTCGTTCTAAGATGAAGCAGCTGTTCAGGGCTCCTTGGTTTCCATTGGTACCCTAACTAAAACTAATCTGTGACGTATCGATTTATAGATTATTTTTCTTTCAAAATAATATCTGCGTCAATTCCAAATTCCCTATAGTATCATTGATTTGGCAACACTAAATAAGGTCGACTCGCGCAAAATTGTCCATCACACATCGGGTTATACTGGTCATCCACAGAGTTTTAACATCATGTTGCTTAATCTTTAGAGCCCAAGTGAATCTCGTTTATCAAATAGTATTGCCGGCACTACAACCTCGAGACAGATCTTATGACTCTAGGTGACTGAACCTAATCATCAGGGAACCGTTGATTAAGTTGTCATGTTTTTCAGCACTTCTAAACAAGATGTAACTTTAATTCAGAGATGATTAAATTTCTTTTCGGACTTACTTGTATGAACCAGCGCGAGAATCGGAAACCTTACCTGTTACCATTTTGACCCTGCTAAACTGAAATATATACACTAGTCTGTTCTTAAGTATTGATAACTAACGTCAACGCTGTTTAAATCCTGTCAATTGATCTACATCCATAGTTTTTTTTAAGATCACATTTGAATATTTCAGCTTATATTTGTACTACAATTGTTGTATAATATGCATCAACTTGAGTCTTTTCAATTTAAATTACACTTTCTACTTTGAATACTACAGAGATTGGAATGTTACGTGATTCGGCCAGAACAGAAAATAGTATTGCTGCAATATCAACAACTGGTGTAGTTGAATCTACAACACGTATTGCAAGACGAGCAAATCGTGTACTTCAATTAATCACACGAGAAGCAGATAATAGCGAAGATCCATTGTATGTTGATCGAATGAACGATGCTGTGAAAGCTTTACGATCAAGTAAGTGTTATATAATACATATGGTTTTTCTTTTTGTTTGTGTTATGTATTTCGAAAAAGGCTTTTATAATTGCGAATTAGGATAATAAGATAAGGATTAGTTGTTCATCATTTTGAATCCGAACAGTCATTGGCCGTCAATTTTCCTTACAATTCACGTAAACCATAAAGAAGCTTGTAAATTATTCACCTAATAATACTTGTAGACATTGAAAGACGATTCTTATCACAAACCGCTATCAATGCAAAATCATTTAAAACCATTGAATAACAGTTAATTCCTAAATGATAGTTGAATTGTGGTTGATATTAGAATTGAGGACTTTGGTTTCGTCGTGTTCGTTGTCTATATTCAAGACTGAATTTCGATTAATCTTTAGTGATTGCTGTGCGTTTTGTTAGGATCTCTTTAATATTACCAGTGTCACACTTTATAGTTCAATGGACAACACGTTTTGTGTATCTGCCTGCTTGGCACCTATTTTTAAGTATCAATTGCTCAAGTAATTTCTTATTCTTTTCAATACAATGTGTGCATTCATTATAATGTATCCCCTTAGAAGACTTGTCTCCTTTGTTGCAAAGATCATTATTATTAACAAGTTTTGATCCATTTTTTTGACATCACTCCGGCATATTAATCGCATGAAGTACAATTAGGTTGAAGCGGTACGCTTATTATATGTGCTAATTCAGTTATCTATTTTCTATATAACGTTTACTAGTTTGTAAGAATGCTTGTTCAAGATGTAGCTTTCTTTAGTTATTTCCAACCATTTGACTGTTTCTGGTTCGTAACAACTTCTCCACTTTAGTGTGCAACAGCGGTTTATTGTTTAGGGTGTTTGATTTCCACCTCAGATTCGAATCCCACTCTACTTAGATTTCCTCACCGGATTTGTTTAATATCACTTAATCTCACTCATAAAACTGTTACTCACATATGATTACATAAATGCATCTTTGGTAAATGAATTACATTATATTACATCTGCTTTTGAAACCCTTGTAAACATTGACTGGTAACTATAATCCAAATGAAGTCCAAAAACATTATAATCCATTGTACTAAAATATTATCTAGTAGAAATTTTATGATATTAAGAAGAAGAAAAAAAAATCCGTATTGTTGTTCAGCCAAACCCTGTTGTGGTTTACTTATCTCTTTTATTTCCAAACAAATAAAACATTTCACATTTCTAGACTCTCCCCCCCCCCTCTCTCTCTCTTCACTGATTTCACTTTTTGTACATCATTAATAAGTGTCTGTGTTTGAGTGTGCATTTATATATATGTGTGTATGTAGGTAGGTAGGTAGGTAGGCAGCCAGGCATATGTCTACAACGTATATTAAAGATTGTACATTTTGTTGTTATTATAAGATAAAATTTGTTCCAGTGATTGTATACGTTCATGTACCTTAATGTTACCGTTATGTCCGGAGTGGTGATAATTAATCACCTCGCTACTGATTTTTTTTTCTCTCTCTCTCTTCCTTTGAATGAATAAATATATTCGTATCTGTGTGTTTACATGTGTGGCTTTTCCTTGTTCTTTTAATTCCTTTTAGCACGTACTGTGCTGATTCATTGAAAACAAAAATCAATACTATTTATTATATCGTGAATATATGTATACATGTATATAATATTTAGTAAAGTATTGGGTTCGAGTCTCATTATATAATAAACACTACGATACAGATATCTATATATATATATATATATATATATATATATATATCTATCTATCTATATATATATATATATATATATATATATATATATATATATATATATATATATACAATTTGAAAAGTCCTAAATAAAGGACAAAATATACACCCTATTTTTCACTGTTGATGGAAACACTAATAATATATTAAACATTAGTAATGTAGTTTTATGGGGCTGTTTTTATTTTTCTAGTTTTAACATGAAAATCTCACCATACTTGTTTTTCAAGTTATGTCATTTCGGAATAAAACCTTTCTGTAGTATATATATATACATATATACATATTAGTTTAACATTAAACTGATATAACGCATTATTTATATTTCCTATTAGATTCAGTAGTTGTTTGCAGTTATTCATAGTTATATAATATACCCTTGTGGGCCAGGGTAATTTTACATTGGTTTTCAGGAGAACCAGGCACCATCCGGACTTTCACGTGACAACTCAAACAGTACAGCTCAACCCCGTTTAGCAGGGGAACCAGACACCGTATAGGCTTTAACCCTACAAACTGAATAGTACAGCTCAATCCTGTGGCGCAACCACACAAGTACCAAACACCCTGGTGAACCATTCGCACCATTCATATACACATTCACATCACATGTATAGTTATTCCGATCAATGATCGCGTGAATCAATTATACACATCACGAACAGGCCAAAGTTGACCTATTCCGCTTACACGACAGTCAAACTCATTAATGTTAGCAATAGCAACATGCCTTACAATGTCCCTTGAGAACACTGAAAAGCAACTACCAGTATGAATGAAATCGGTTAACCAGGAAACCAATTTTTCGCATGAACATTCAGCAAAAGTTGCCAAAGTAGTGCCGAACTATCCACAATACCAATGGCGAACCTCTAGTCTCATATGAGACCTTCAGCTCTACATAGCCATATAGCTTATAGTAGTTGTTTCCACTATTGATGAAATCATAGTTCTAAATTATGCAACTATTCTATTGACTTAAGGGAGATAAAGTATACCGCCTTCATGTTTGCTGAATCTTCATGAATTGTTTAACTGAATAGGGTGGTGGATGGTGGCTAGCAGTAGAATTTAGGATACTCGTTTCGTCCTATTTAGAACTGGTTAGCTGAATGTATCTAGATTCCAGAGTTGGTATTCATTTCCAGACTTCAACCCAGTAACTTCCACTTTAAACGTCATCGCATTATCCAGTTAGCTAATGAATCAAGGCAGCAGCTGGCTTATGCAATGAGGTGAATTTCAAGTCCTAGAGTAAACATTAATTCTGGGATGTAGGTCCACCCAGCTAACGAGTCCAGAATAGGACAAAATGGGCGTCATCGACCTTATTGATAACCACTATCTATCTCTGTCTAAAATGCTCATGAATTACTGGCAACATAGAGGCAATCTGGACGGGATGCACATATGCCAATAAGAGACTCGGAAAATAGGAACATTGTAATTTCTACAACGCATTGTGAGAACACAAATGACTGGTGAAAATAAAGATCTATTAACTCTCTAAGTCACATCAAAAATAAGTTGTCCTCATTCAAACCGAATAGACTTGTCTATACAGTGATGTATAATTGGAAATTAGTTCATAAACATCGTATAAATGAAAAGATACACAGGGTTACCTGTAAAACTACGGAGAAAATAATAAAAAATATCATTGTCACACCAAACGAAATTTCACGCCTTTCATGTTGAACAAAATTCATACTTAACTGATATAAAAATATTGATCTGAAATTATATCCCATAGTGAATGTTGGGGAAACCCGGAAAATTCTTCGAAAAGCATTGAATAGCAGTATCTCGGACACATCTAGAAAGTGAAGAGTCACGTGTCGTATCTACTGTGGTTAGTAGCGTTCTCGAATTTTCCAGAAGCCTAATGCCGTTTGAAATGCTATAAATACCTGAAATTTTCTGTCCATAAACGAACCTTGGAGTGAAGAGTTCTTTCCACATTTAGCTCCTTTTTTGTCGTGATCAAGTTGTTGTGGTTATAGGAGAATTTAGGAGACAAATCCAAGCGTTCAGTTAGAAGATTTATCAGTGAATAAAAAGTCACTAACTTCTGGTCTGAGCCATGTTGGGAAATACAGACTACTTGGTTGGATTCCGTGTGACTATCGTAATCAATGGTTGGAGACTGTGTGTGACATGGTTGAGAATCGATCACAATGGCGTAGGTGTAGGTGCAGTCTTTCTTTTATACATTACTACCATTGAATTAACTACTTGTATGAATCCGGTGTTGTTCATGTTGTGCTATTGAAGTATGGGAACTTGGACCGATACATATATGTGCCTGATCTCACCACTTCTACTTCTCCCTTTTTCAATAGCTATCACACCAATGGTAAATGATGCTAAAGGTTTAGTAACAAATATTGAAGATCCACGTATGCATGATCAGTGGCGTTTATCAAATCGTAATTTATTAACTGCTGTTAATTCAGTAAAACAAGCTGTTAGTCCATCATTTAATAATCCTATTAATTATTATCATGAACATTATCGTCCAATATCTGTACATAAAAATGGAATTAACAGTACAAATACAAGTATTAGTAGTAATAGCTGTAATAATATACATAACAATAATAATAATAACAATAGTGTCTCATCATCTAAATCATCACAGGCTTCTATTAAAGAGACAACACCTTCAATTCCTCTTCGAGAAATGCAAGAAATATCAATTACAGGTAAGTACCTCTGAAGTATTCTCTTCTAATTTTTTTCCTTTAATATTTTATTTGTTTTGTTTATTGATGATCATATTCTAAGTCACAGTTATCTAGTTCATTGGATCATTTTTATTGATCCGTATTCTTTCATTTGTTATATAATTAATGATTGAATTGAATTTTGTAAACACTATTTTCCAACAAATACTTTGACAAGCCCCTGTTACTGCTAATGGAGCATAGGCCACCAACCAGCATTCTCCAACTCACTCTGTCCTGGGTCTTGTTTTCTAGTTCCATCCGATTCTTGTCCGTTTTTCTCATGTCTATTTCCATTTCCCGGAGTAATGTGTTCTTTGGTCTTCCTCTTTTCCTTTGGCCTTGAGGATTCCCTGTATTCAATACAAATTCTCTTTAATAAACTGGTGGCCAAATCAAGAGGGTGGCATCAGTCCTTGAAGTCATTAACTTCTAGTCTGAGCCATGCTGGTAGATTCAGACTACCTAGTTTGTGTTTCAATGGTTAGAGACTGTGTGACATGACTCAGCATCGATCACAATGGCGTAGTTGTATACACTCTCTATCTTCACTTAAACTATGAGATTAAAATCCTTCATATCTTTCTTTTTACGAACTAATTCTTTCTTCCTGTACTATATCTTTATTGCAATCTTTCTTTTATGTATTACTACCATTGAATTAACTACTTCTATGAATTTGGTGTTCATGTTGTTGTGCTAATGAGTGAGGTGTGGCAACTTGGACCGATGCATATATGTGTGTCTGGTCCTACATTGAGACTGATTGACTCTTTAATAAACGATTGTTTTTATTGTATAGTCTATCTATTTGTATGATCTATCCATAGACAAAGAGTGAATATAGTCTACATCTTCCTACCTGTAACTTCATGCGCTAATATCACATTTTGATTTGATCACTACTAGACTTGTTCCAACCTATTCATTCACCAGACTCTTTATAGCATTGATCTAGACGCTTGTTGAGTTTACGTAATGCATGTCTTAAACACTTCAGTCAATGAAGCTTCACAATGTTATTAATCGATTCATCATCCTTTTCCGATACCCGTATACCTTGTCTTCGTATTCAATGTGTCAAATACCTATTGTCAAATAATCGTGACCTACAAATATCTTATACTTTTATAACCATAGTTTTATAGGCATTCAGTAAACCAGAGAGAAATGCTCTGCAGTATACCCGGTCGTTCATTTTCAAATGAGATATCTCACCAACGCAAACGCAACAAGTGATTCATAAATTGTCTTATATTTCAAGTATCAGTTCATTACCTTCTTTTTATAATGGGATTATTTGATAGTAAACTATTCATGTCGTATTCATGGTGTATGATATCGACGTATCATACATTTCATACTAAATCTCGGTGTCTGTTGTACTTTATTTTAAAGTGAACAGTATCTATATTTTTCTCCATCCATTTTCATTTCATTTCTTTGCTATTCTCTAGATGTTTCTCATATACCATATTCATATATTGACAATAATAATAGTAATGATTACATTTATCATACATCACATTATCATCATAAACCTGTGTACGAAATTAAATTATCTAATCCTCTTCATCATTCACCATCATCACCACCACTGCCACATCATCAAAAACAACATATCACTACTACCAGTCATCATCATCATCATCATCATCATCAACCTTATTCATCACCTACACATTCATATCAACAATCCAGTCCACTTCATCAAGCATACTCACCTGGTCACTACACTAATAATAATAGCAGTAATAATAATCTACATTCACCATCATCACCCCCTTACCAACAACAAAATCATCACTATCATCCTCATAACCATTCAAAACATCATCATCATCAAACTGAAAACATAAATACTTATTTAACAATGAAACATAATGATGATTATTTATGTACAGGTATATATTTTTTGTTGAATATCATTGGGATAGACACGCATGTTCTTGATCTTGTGCACAATAATCACTTTAAGGATCATTTCTTTCTTTTCTATCAGTCTTCCTTTCTTCTTCCTCCTCTCTCTCTCTCTTGTTTGTTTTAGTACCAGTGTTTGTTCATTTGATTGCATGACAGTTAAAAAAGATTGAGATGATTTCTGTTAGTTTTTTTTGTCTGATATGAAAAACAAGTAAACATGCACTGCTTTTATCTTTCCTGTGAAATGCTGTTACATTGATTATGTGTATATCATTATTTGATAATAATCCTTCTTGAAGTCTTCGTTATTACTGTTATCATGACTATTGTCATGGTAACTACTTATTTATTTAAACACATAAACATTGGTACAAGGAAGTATCAAATAGATATGCGCCATATAAATCATTCGATTTCTGTGAGAGCTGGGACACGGCCCGGGTGCCCAAACCGAAACAGGTGGTTTTCGTAGGAAGGCCGTACCTGGAACCTTTGACCTAAAGGTCTAATCCACAAGGTAGTGGAGCAACGTCAGGAGATGCAATCTCGTGGTTATCGGTCACCAATAATTGGTTCATATACTATTTGTTCCTTCAGGATCCTGGAGCCCAAATGCACCATTAATTACAGTACGAATACAAAAATTGGATATTATTTGTGAATTTCATAAGGATGTATTAAGGTATATAATAATAAGGGGTTAATGCTGTTAGAATGTTGATTACACTATCTATCTGTTATTATTACAGTCGAAATAGTAGACTTTTAGTTTTTTTTCCATCTTCTACACATCGGCTATATGCGTGAATATCGTATGTTCTTGTATGTTTGCATACTGCATTGGCTTTCAAATATTAATACATTTCTTGGAAATTGTTTGTCTTATTTCTTTCTTTATGTTCTATCCTAACACATTGTTAATGGTATTTTTCAGATGAAGATCGACAACAACAATCTGGTACTATTTCTTTACATGATGCTGTATCTACTACAACAACAGCAGCTGATGTTCCTGCACGAACTAGTACACCTGATACGGAAGTTGATGAAGAATTCAACTTTCCACCACCTGAAGAAAATCAACCAATTATGGTCAGTGAGAATTATATTTATGTTTTCTTTTTAAAACCTGTCAAAAATGATTTATATAAGTTCTCACCAAGATTTGAACGATTAGTTTGTCAAATGAATTGAATATCAACCAGGGTAAATTATCCAACAAATTCTGTATTATAAATTTGGGCTAGTTAAAATACTATAGGTAGAGTAGTACTGTGGTAAGTTGTAATTGCTTTCAATTACTTCAGGTCATCTACATTGTCTTTTTACTTTACAGTGACCAGTTAAGATATAAGGTTACTTTTCTATATAATTTATTCGTTATTATCATAATAATCCTTTCGGTTATATACCCTGATACGTCCGAGGGTGGGAACAGTTCACTTTCCCTCTCGAAATGTTCTCATATGACCACATGCATACAACCACTGCCAGGGAAGTCGTACTCCCTGCATTCTCGTGGTATTACTGTAGTTTACGAAATTGAGAGGACGAAAAGCAAATTTCCAGAGCTTTAACCAGATCGGTGGACACGGAGAGTCCATTCAGGGGAGTTGGAAAACCCTCATTCCAAACCAATGGTGGACATGGGCTCCAGGATCCTGATGGAACGATTGGCGTATAAACCAATTATTAGTCATTGGCTACCATGTGACTGCATCCCCTGACGTTGTTCCTCTACCTTGTGGATCAGACCTTCCGGTCGAAAGCTCCGGGTATGGCTCCCTAAGAAAACTATGTGATTCGGTTTGAGCACCCGAGTAGTATCATAGCACAGACACAAATCAAGTGGTTTGTGTGGCGCATTTATATTCGGTACCCCTTTGTACTAATATTTATGTGTTCAAATAAATAAATTATATCACAGGATGCATAGATGCTTAAAAGGCAATTGTTTTTCATGAGATCAATACTTAAAGTTTGAAACTAAATGCGTAAATACGAGTGGAATGTAATACGTGTAAGTGCATAATACAACTTCATAATCACCCATAGCTTTATATTTCCTTCTTTAAATCATACATTTTTTGTGTTTACCTATCTATCTGTTTGTGAATTCAGTAAACTATACAATTGTCCAATGTAAATAAAGTTATATTGGGTTCGTATTTCATACTCTATGGTTGACAACTGAGTATTTTAGTTGCTATATCGTTGCTTCATATAGTTAATTAAATATGTGTAATATAAATTAATGTATTTATAATGAGCCTTATTAATCACATGTTTTCTAGCAATCATCATATTTAATATAAGAGATTATATCCTCATTATGTCATATTTGTAGACCTACTTTAATAAATGTATATTTCTATTATTAAAATTCATTGAAAACTCAGTTTTATCGAATTCCATAACAGATATAAACTAAATAGATTCCTAGAAATGGAATTTACTCAGTTCATCGACAATGAGCCGATGGAACATATATCTGTATAAATGAACAGATGCGTACATTGTATTTACACACGTTTACTAATACATTCCGACATCCAAGTAAATATGTGATCCTATGATCTTATGATATTACACAGATACATATTAAAATGAGATTCAGTATTTTGACTGTCATCATGAACCGTTTGATGTTAGACCACTATTAACAATCCCACTCGCGAGGTCGTGGATGCTCATTGCGGAGGAGTCACACAGTAGGAAGAAACGGCTGTCCAGTGCTTTCAGGTTTTCAATGGTGGTCTAACATCAATTGGTTCATGATCTCAATCAAAAACTTGATAATCTCCACAACCCTATACTGAGATTCACTATAGATAAAGTAAGCTACTGAAATAAAATAAGTAGTTAGATTTCACAGTATTTTGAAAGTAGTCCACAATAGTACAATCACACATAACATAATTGATCAGATTTAAGTTGATTCTGTGACTTATAATTAACCAGAATTTAGGTGTATTAATGTTTACACTGTCTAGTCGAGACAACAATTACTAATTTGTCTATCAATGATTCATATCAGAAGGGCTTTTTTGTGGATATCATCGTAATTTCAATGATTGAGACCATGAAGCTAGACCACCATAGAAAAACCTGAAAGCACTGGACGATGGTCTCCTCCTATTGTAGGCCTTCTCAACAGTATACATCCACGATCATCATAGCAAATCAGCTAACCTAATTGTATGCTTTCCATATTGAGATTTTAAGTGAAGTTCATTTATTTCCAACATACATTTTAACCAGCGGTTGATATTTTCTATATGAATATTAATTTGAATAAACAAAATTGGTGAGTGTTATAATTTCATCATAAATATTTTTAACCATCCTATTTAGCTTTCAATACATTGACTTTACAATAGAAATCTACTACTTCACATTGTCATTCATTAATTCCAGAGACTGGTATCACACTTGATGTTTCTTTAATTCAATTCTACTTTAGTTTCTATCACTTATGGTAATCGGTGTTTGGGCATACGTAACACGTGGCCCAACCATCTCAGTCGATGAAGATTCACAACCTCATCAACTGATTTACCATCACTTTCTAATAGTCTGTGTCTAACCTCACGACTACTTATCCGGTGATCCCAACAGACGCCAGCAATATTTCTGAGGCATCTGTGGTCAAATACTAGTAGCTTACGAGTGTCTTCTACTCTTAATGGCCATGTTTCGCTGCCGTAAATTAAAACAGAACGGACTACCGCGCAGTATACTCGTCCTTTTATTGATAGACGGATATCTCGCCTTCGCCATAGGTGGCGCAAGTTGGCAAAAGCCAATCGAGCTTTCCGAATCCGTGCTGAGATTTCGTCCGATACCAACCCATTAGGGCTGATCAGACTTCCAAGATAAGTGAAGTTGTCAACGCGTTCGACTACTTCACTCCCTATCCTTAGTTCAGGTGTTGACGCAGACCAGTCCTGAAGCAACAACTTGCATTTAGAGGCATTGTTGCTTAGTGCTACCAAAAGACTTTGCATTTTATCAGCGTCTTCAAAAAACAGGACTATATCATCTTCCTGTACTATATCCTTATTGCAATCTTTCTTTTATATATTACCACAACTGAACTAACTAATTTTATGAATCCGGCGTCCATCTTGTTGTGTTAATGTGGCATGGCAACTTGGACCGATGCATATACGTGCCTGATCCTACGTTGTAGCTGACTGACTATCACTTATGGGTTATAACTTGAATTATCATTTCTAAAGTGTAATCCAATGCCTCCATCAGCTGATCTATTCTCTTTACTACGTAGATTCATGTTGAGTAGTAGCTTATAATACCTCATCGAATTCCGCCCATACATATATATTTAAAGGTGAAAATTTGTTTATGGTGAAAACATTTTGATTGAAAGCAACTAGTTTGATAAATTTTCCACTTGTCTAACAGCTTGATTATACTATGAGTTCATAAAAACAAAGAAACCAGGAATAAGTCAGTTTTGTAGATCGTACTTCTTTTTTTTTGTATACTTATTGATTCAACTATTAGTTCCTTATTGATTTATAATTTTAGGCCGCTGCTCATGCATTACATCATGAAACACGATTGTGGTCTAGTCGAGATAATGAATTAATTGCAGCAACTAAACGTATGGCTGCTTTAATGGCTCAATTAAGTCAAATTGTTCGGTAAATATTTTAATTTTATCAATTCAATTTGTTTATCTGTATACATGTTGTCATGGTTTCTTTGTACATATAGATTGATGTTCTTTTGTAAATTTAATTGAATAGTTAGAGTGGAAGAGAATATACTATCTACATTTAGTCCCGACCGTTGTTGCTACCTTGACGTGGTGGTCGAGCTTGTCTATCCTAATGAACCAATAGAGCTATACTGGCTGGAACAATCGTTCCTCAAGGTCCTACCATGCCAAACAGGTCGCTTGAAGAACGGTAAGACTAAAAGTAGCAAACCCAAGGTTCGAAGGCGAAGTCGTACTGCTGACTGTACAGAGGTGTGACGGTAGTAAGGTGTTTCCTTTAGACAGCCAGCATAACAGCGATGATGCCTTCCCACAAGGGGTTGGGTTAGAAAAGGTCGGCCCTGAAAGCACACACCTCGTCTTATCCAATTGACATCCGTCTCCGGAGATAATGTCTCAACACGTACGGAGCTAACACGAAAATTACCCATAAAAAGGCCGTGTATGACCAACCTCAAGCAGTTATCCCTTAGACACTGGGGTCACGCTCTCAAGTCACTAAGATCACCTCTAACCCAATTTCCTTTTCAGGTATTTCTAGAAATAACCCTTCCACGGTGTGCGTCACCGGGAAGTGATAATCACCCTCATACGTAAGACCATTGTATTCATAATCAACCTCTTCAGTTCTTCTATCTACATTTAGTATTATTTTTCAGCCATTAGTTTCCTTGTTTCTTCTATTTTTTTTGTTAAAAATTTGTTCCTGATAACTCATATGATCTAAAAACCACGGCGAGATTAGAATTTATGAACGAACCAATCAGATTTGGGATAACAGGTCTTGAATTTCGGCTCGAATTTCATTCATCCTTTTGGCTAAATAGCGTTTTGGCATTTTAACTTATGTCAGTTCAATCAATTGTAAATTATAATCCTTATTCTTCATACTGCTCCATGATCCTCATTTAGCTCTAGTAAGTAGGTTGACATTCTAAAGGTCACTTTAGCGTCGTTCACAGGTCGTCCATAAACTATAGTTTCACCAGAATTACTCTCATCTACCTTGTATTCAATCATTGCCTTTGTTAAATGTTAATTCTCTAAGATGATGGATCTCAATCTTTATAGTTTGAGTGATCAAATAAAAAATGCTTCTCCTAAGGGAGATTACAGGTTATCTAGTTTCTTTTTTAATGAATAATATTTCGTACATGTAACGATAACTATGGTAACACTTTTCCAATTTATATTTCTTCAATGACCTTTGCTGCTATTTCACTAGTTGTTTGGAGTTTTTATTTATCAAAGTCTAAAATCGTTTTCTCCTACCTCCGCAACATGTTTTATTTCTTCTCAAACTCTTGTCTGTGTCCCATCGTGTTCTTGATTACTGTCACAGTGCTGTTTGTCAGTCCTCCAATCTATATAGGTCATGTAGATCCAGTTTCATATTAGATTTCAGGAATTTACAATATGAACTTAATGAAATCTACAACAAAACTTGATTAAATCTTTGTTACAAGTGTTTGATCTACCACTAAAACATAATATAGCGCTTACCATTATACGCAAAGGTCGTGATTCCGATCACTGGTGTAGCCGTGGATAAGCATCACTGAAATGATTATGGATCAAAATAATTATCTAGTAATTCTTGCCCTTGAATGGTTGTTGAACCATATAGAACCGTGAATTTCGTAACTTGTACAACTCGTCGAATTATTGACTCTCTTACTTTTAAAAGTAACTTCCATCATTCTTAATATGGAAACAAATTTTTCTTAATTAATTTGCTGTAATTTTCGTTTCATAATTAAATAATCGAAGTATTTTATTCAAACATAGACTTAACACATGTGACATTAATCACTACCCAGTGATCAATCAATTGTGATTACATCCCAGTCCTACAGGAGGTCGTTCGCGGCCCGGATTTCCCATTGGTAATGTCTCTGATTGTGTAGCTGGGTGACACGGGATCGAATCCGACAGGGAGCACCATTTCCCTAAAGATTACAGGTACACCTTGTCGACGAGTGCCAAGTAGCACGTGACCCAGGCCCAGAGTTTACTGTTGACTGCTTCTAACCACCATCTTATCTCAACATAGTGCACGCAATGTTGAGTCACCTAGACTAGTGGCCACATTGTAACTTGGTCGATGGCATTCGATCTGCACTAAGAAGAACTTGATGCACATGATATTGATCACCACCTAGTGATCAGTCAATTGTGAAAACATACACTTTGTTTATTCCGATATTACCGGTCTATTTTTTGATATTCTTTTAATTAAAAATCAAAAACATAATCAGTGGTGAATACGGTACAAAGAAGGATCTGATTAATGTTTCTATGGCTATTGCTGAAGCATCTTTGGATGTTAATCGATGTGCAAAAGTATTAGCTAAAGAATGTACAGATCGTCGTATACGTTCGGTAAGTTGTGTAGATTAGTTTACTGTTATTCTTTTTTTACAAAGTTGTTGACTGTTATTGTATAATGTTTGTTTATTTATATTGGAGTTTTGTAAAGTTTTCCAAATTTTACGGTCTACATTACTGATTAGCCTTAGATAACTGTTAAAATCCAATAAGCACAGGACAGCTGTTTCATCCTTATTTAGGACCTGTCTATGGTACGTGTCTATGATCAATGAAGTTCAACCACATCTTATGTTGGAAAGTTAATCGCTCGTGGTATTGAAAGATGATTCTACGGTATCACGAAGTAAATAAAGTTAGACATGTGAACCTTTTGATGTCAACTCTCTGCTATTAAAGTTAAGCACTCATCGTGGTGACTTAAATATCCTAGATTAAATCACTGGTGGAGTCATGGATGTGTATGTTCAAGAAGTTCTATAGAAAGGGGAAACAGTTGTACATTACTAGTTTGCAATTTTTTCCGATTGACGTCAGTCTATGACACAAACTATAAGATAAATATTATTTATTTGAACACATAGACATTGGTACAAGGAGGCACCAAATACATATGCGCCACGCAAATCTCATTTGATATGTGTGAGGGCTGTGATACTACTCGGGTGCCCAAACCGAAGCAGATTTATGTGAATACGAGAACACATAATTCCCATTGTCTTCTCAGCTAATATACTAAACCATTTAAGCTTGTTCCAACTGAGTTCTCGGTGAGACGACTTTTGAGTGACGCTTAAGTGACCTAGTAACTAGGACCAATTGAGGGTTATAAACCAGTGTATGAGGAATTAGAATTATGATTTACAGTTGATGGTTAGTGTTAGGAATTACATTTAGGGTTTTCATCACGAACTGACATCAGCTATAATGTCAAAACTCTATTTAGCCAAATGGATGGGTGAATTTCGCGCCAAAACCTGAGACTTATGATCTTATACCCGGTTGGTTTGTCCATAAATTATAGTCTTGCCGAATTCTCCAATTGATGAAGAATACATTATTACTTCCATTCATATATTGATATGTATATGGATTCATGATCATTTCATGTCTAACTAAACGTCATTGCATAAATTTTAAACAAATACCTATCGGTGGTATATATATATATATATATACTTCAAATTACATTCTTGTATAGTGGCTTAGCTTCGTTAATCAATTACCTCGATAACCGTTATGATACAAATCCCGACAGTGTTTAGAATCAACAGGCAGTAAGAAGCGGCGACTACAGTTTATTAGCGGATAGCACAAATCACAAAGCTACAAGCACATCGAACAAAATTGAAACGGAGAGGTGACGATATGTATGCAAACAAATACAGAGGCAAGTTTATAGTCAAATCGAATCAAGGCTCAGATAGGAATGGCAAATACTAATAATAGAATTCAAGTACATACATCCATGGGGTAGAGAATGATTCATCGTGCAATATTTAGGCTATCAATAATCAAGCTAGTTAGAGATGTGAATAGGATCCAGAGTACATGTTTATACAAACATGGTAATGATCATAATAGTATAAAGAAATACTGTTCAAATAACATTATCTGTTAAGTAAGTTAATAAAACGGCTTAACCATAATTGAAATTGATTGTAGAATAGTTGCTATACTCTTCTTGTTATTATTATTGAAGTTGATAAACAAAATTCCATGTTTTCAGTACCTTCATTTAAAGATGATTTATTGTTTGTTATTGTTATCATGCATATTTTGTTAAATATTCTATAAACAAGAAAGTTCATGTATATTTTGACTGAATTTAGTTAGTTATTAAAAGTATGATATACTCTCTCTCTCTCTCCTCTTTCTATATTTATTACATAAATTAATACAAATAAATACATTTCTGTAATCATTCTCTGTTATTGTTCTGGTTGTCTTACCGTACTTCTCTCACTGGTGTTTATTATATTATTAGTAGTACTACAATGATTGTTTTCTACTCTCCCACCCCCTACTAAGCCGAGGTTAGAGATAGTCAGCTCTCTCTAGAAACGCTCTCACATGGCCACATGCATGCAATCACTGCCACACAAGTCCTACTCACTGCCTTCTCGTGGCATTACTGTTGTTTACGAAATTGAGAGGATGAAAAGTGAATATCCGACGTTCTAACCAGGTTGGTAGATATGGAGGATGCATCTAGGGGAGTTAGAAAACCCTCATTCCAAACCAGTGATGCACATAGGTTCCAGGATACTGAAGGAACAAATAACGTACGAACCAACTGTTGGTCGCTGGTTACCATTCGAATACATCTCCTGACATCGTTCCACCGCCTTATGGATCAGACCTTCAGGTCGAAGGTTCCAAGTATGGCCCTCTAAGAAAACCATCTGCTTCGGTTTGAGCACCTGGACAGTATCATAGCCCACACACAAATCAAGTGATGTGTATGGCGCGTATGTATTCAATGCCTCTTTGTACTAACATTTATATGTTCAAACAAATAAATAATAAATTTCTTCTATTTCTTTTAATCAAAGCACATTAAATACTACTAATATCCTGGTAATTAAAACAAACCCAACTTTTTCAACATTAAATTATCACTGATTGAAATCATGAGTCATTTGAAGCTAGACCACCATAGAGAACCTGGAAGCACTGGACGGGTCTTCCATCTTAGTATGAGACTCCTCAGCAGTGCGCATCCACGATCCCGCACCCCGCGAGGTTCGAACCCAGGACCTATCAGTCTCACGCCAGGCGCTTAACCAACTAGACCACTGAGTCGACATCCAACGGTGTTAATGTCTAACTTCAACCAATCGACGAAGTTGCGCCACCGTACACCATTGTCTTTAATGAGTTGATATCTCACAACAGACCTGGTTGAACTCCACTAGTAACGGCTTCCCACTAGAACTCTAGGAGTATCTCTTGAATTCAGTCAAATCATGTTTCAACTGATCCATATGAACAATAAATAATCTAGTAACACTAGCCTTTGAATCAAGTAAACATTATCAGCTCATACTTGATTACATAATTATAATTTACTTAATATAACTTATCCAATAGTTTCTAGATACGCCATTTTTTCCCCATATATCTATATATATGTCTGTATCTTTTTTCATAGTAAAATGATTGGTAGTTCCAATGAATAAGTTTTACTCTTGACTAAAATTTAACATTGAAACAGGTTACATTATCATTTGTATTATGTAACTTTTCACTTGAATGTTTTAATGTAATTGTATTTTAAACTATCCTACTTCTTCCCTTCTATCATTTATTCAAATAAAGTGTGTTACGGTTGGTTTGTGGTGGAGTTTCGCTTACGTAATCATGTGTGCAAATCGACGTATTATTATTAGTAGTAGTAGTAATAGTAGTAGTAGTGGTAGTAGTACTAGTAGTAGAAGTAGTACCCTAAAAGCTTCACTGTATGACTGTTTTTCATATTTGAATAATTGAGACAAGTTGAAGTCTATTTCTACTTTACTAAACAATAAATGTTGACGTTAACAATAATTTACCATTATTATTATTAATAGTTACTGTAATAAAAACGTCAAAATCCGTTACATAATGCTTCTATTCAATGGTTAATATATTTTTAGCTGTTCAAATGGTTGTCAGTTGTGGGATAGTAACCCACTGATGACAATGGTGGATGTATCGCTCAATTTCGCGGATTAATTGAAGTTAGACATTAACACTATTGGATTCCGACTCAATGGTCTAGTGGTTAGGAGCACGTGCGAGACTAATAGGCCCTGGGTTCGAATCCCGCGACGCGGAGTCGTGGATATGCACTTCTGAGGAGTCCGACAATAAGATGAAACGGCCGTTCAGTGCTTCCAAGTTTTTCATGATCGTCTAACTTCAATTGATTTATGATCTCAACTGTTCAAATAGTACTTAGTGTAATATTTTGGAGAACAAATTTTAATCTGTAATTAGTTTACATCACGAAACCATATGGATTATACATTTAGGTTAAATGCTTGACGATTGGTCGTTTAAGAATAACACCCAGTTCTACTTCGGCACTTGAGCAATATCTTAGCCTAGACAAAAATTTGTTTTGTATGACGCATAATATTTTCACTCTTCAGTTATATCAGATCAAATGAATTAGAATGTCTTATTACATGAACAAGTCTATTCTTCTAGCTATTGTTATCTATTCATTCGGAAGTTTAAAACTATAGTCCTGTTTCATGAGTGACTACTACTTTTGGTGTCTAGTTGTGCCACTATTTATATGCCATAAATTAAGTAAACTTCATCAATTCTACAGTAAAACATGAAGTAAATCCAATGTCTTTTCAGTGCTTGAATCTCCATTCTCTATAAGTTATTATACCAATTTCAAATGTATCAACACAATAGTCGAATTAATAAACTCTTGTTTAATGTTTTCATTTCATGAGTTCAAATTTAGTTCAACTTATTCCTATTTGAACATAACAAATCTTTCATTTTTATTATTGATATAAAATGATGAAGGTTAAAAGCTTAATACACCGCTTTCCTCATTTTGACTGATACTCCACAATAATATAACGAACAATGCCCCCGAATTCCCTGGTACGGCTAAGGTTAAGGAGAGTCAGCTCTTTCTCTAGAAATGCTTTCACATGACCATGTGCATACAACGACTGTCACGCATGTCCTACTCACTACCTTGTCGTGGCATTATTGTCGTTCACGAAATTGAGATGAAGAATAGCGAATGTTCGGTGCTTTAACCAGGTTGGTGGATCCACCTAGGAGGAGTTGGAAAACTTTGATAACAAACCAATGATGCACTTCTGGCTCCAGGATCCTTAAGGAAAAATTGCGTATAAACCAATTATTGGTCATTGGCTACGATGAGACTGCATCTCTTGACGTTGTTCCTCTGCCTTATGAATTAGACCTTTAAGTTAAAGGCTCGGAGTGTGGTCCCTTAAGAAAATCACCTGTTTCGGTCTGGGTGTCCAGGCATTGTCCTAGCTCTCACACAAATAGAATGATTTATATGGTGCATACTAATTTGGTGCCTCCTTGTACCAACGTTTATGTGTTTAAATAAGTAATAATTATAATGTATACTAATTTTATCGTTATTTTTTATTGTTTTCAGAATCTTTTACACCTAAGTGATCGTATTCTCACCATTGGGAACCAATTAAAAATTTTATCTACTGTAAAAGCCACTATGCTTGGAACACAAGGTAGGTGGTGGTGGTTTTTTTTAAAAAAATGCCGTAATAGCATAGATATATTCGTTATTTATCTCTTCTTATATCTTGAGTTTTGAACTTATCTCATACTTTATATTCAGGGGATTTACTCTTTTGTTCAGAAGAACGATCGAAACTCCACGATTAAACCATCCAGCTCAGAGAACAAAACTCTATCCCGATTTATTCTTTCTTTTTCTATAGTCATATTACCTATACCTAATCTTTTCTACTACCGATACTGTTGCTACTTTTACTACTTAGAAATTTGTCTTAAAATAATTATGTCTCATTGTGCTAATGCGATTTCATGCATATATTCACCGAACTCCATGACTTGTTTGAGGCTGATCAATGTAACTTGGTTAACACAATGTAAGTTTATACAGCTAAATAACTGATTAGTCTCAATTCCATGAGCTAGGAAATACTGTTCAATCACACATAAACCATAAAGTAGTCAAATTTAGGTTTGAACAGTTTGTTACTCTAGTCTTATATAGGGATATATGTCAAAAAGTTACGTTTGATTACTGAATAGAAATTGAGGAAGGTTAAGCAACTTTATGTATGACCTTCTTTGTGATATTCTAATAGTAATATGCAGTGTGTACTACTTATATGGACAGATATCATTAGTATGTATCAGGCATATGAAGTAGAATTCTTTTTGAAAGAAGAAGAAGAAGAAAACAAAGAGAAAAGAAAGGAAAGGAAAATAGAAGGCAACAGAAATGTCAACAGGATTGGAAGAACGACTTAGTTTGTTCAGAATAATTCAAGAATGATGAGCAAATAGTGTATCTAGTGCATTGTTCCCATATTTTACAAACTAATTAAACAGTTTAAAACACAAGGATGTAGGGGGTATCGAAATGTAATTGCTATGAGGATACCTCATAACTGTTGCACCTTCACTATATACACAGATATATGTGAAAGATATTAATGTAGGATGTTTTTGAACTTACTCATGAAGAGGCCAATAGAATCATAGCATTACAAAGTAGTTAATTACACTATCGTGCATAGATTGTAATGGTTTAATTATCTATGAAATCACACTAACATCATCAGATTCAGTTGAACACTTCACTTCTAGTCGAATAAATTCAAGATTTCTGTCGTGACTTCTTGATATATATGGTAGTGTATAATAATGGCTTTAAATCACTTGAAGCTGCCAGTTTAAATTCGGTGTAATAGAACCATCAACAAACTGTTAATTATAGATATCGTCAGGGGGTAACTGGCTCACAACCGACAAATATTAGCTCCACTGGTCTCTGATTCTCATTAGAACTCGAATCTAGTCACTAGATATGGAGAAATATGATATAATGGATACTTCTAATTCTGTTATCCAGTGTCGAAGTGTCTAGCGTTCAAGCAACTGTTAAAATACGAAAGCAGGAAATTCTCATTTAAATAGTTATCAAGAAATGATAATTCAATGAAGGTGTCTATTTTCTGTGATCCCGTCGTTGAATTATCATGCTTTCTTATCTAATTGGAATATGAGCAAGCAAACTAAGCGTTAACATAATGATTACTCATTAGTAATATAACTTGATGAAATAAATCTCATGGACACTATTAATGTTTAAGGTATGTGATGAACTTGTCTGAGATTACTTTCATCCATAGGTTATATTTGCGACTGATTGATCTCAGTACTCATTACTGAAAGAATTTCATATTAGGAAAAACTAGGTTCCTAGTATTCTTTAGTTTCCAATAGTACCCTGTTTGGTATCTATTTATCTTTGATGAATAAAGCGTGGATATATTGAAATTACCTGTTGAATAAAGTTAGGTGATTCTAATATTCCTAATTAAGAGTTCTAAAATATTTTAAAAAATTGACTAATATGTTTTAACTTTCGTGTGATTTGTTTAATCATTGAGCACTTCATCTCTAATGGACATTTCACCCCCAAATGCCGTAGTACGGCCGAGGGTGGGGAGAGTCTGTTCTTACATGGCGACGTGCATATAACTACTGTCACCCAAGTCCTATTCACTGCATCCCTGCGAACGGGTTGTTGTTTACGAAATTGAGAGCATAAAAAGCGAATGTCCGGTGCTTTAACTGGGTTGGTAGATATGAAGGGTCCACCTAGGGGAGTTGGAAAATCCTGATTCCAAATCAATGGTATACATGGGCTCGAGGATCCTAAAGGAGCAAATGGCGTTCTAATCGATTGTTGGTCACCGATTACCATGAGGGGCTCCAGGCGAAGTTAATAGAAACTAGAATCTCTGACATTTCTTGACATGATTCTTTTGCTTTACAGAATAAATGATTAGCTCTATCAAGTTAACTCAATTATATCAGGAATAGAATGCCCATATGATTTGTTAGTTTAGTTAATAATTGATTAATCTTGATAATCCCACCTTTTTCACGTGTTTTTTTGCCACTATCAATTAAGGTACACTGAGCACTACAACACCTGACATACTCTTCATCCCACTATTTTTCTTTATATCACATCAAAAGCGAAATAGTAACACTCAACTGGTTAGTTTGAATCCAACTTCATGTAGTTCAATTTGAGAGACTGAATTGTATCAACACGAAACATATAGCTAGATTATAACTCAGAGATAAATGTATTAGTTTGTACTGGATAGATTAGTAAATCAACCAATCTTATAATATAAGACAGAATTACGTAACCAAGATAACTTAATATAACTAATTTCAGTCAGTTAGTTACAACGTAGGACCAGGCAAATACATGCATCGATCCAAGTTGCCATACCTCATTAACACAACAAAATGAACACCGGATTCATAAAAGTATTTAATTCAGTTGTGGTAATATATCAAAGAAAGATTGCATATAAGGATATAGTACAGGAAGAAAGAATTAGTTCGTAGAAAGAAAGATATGAAGCGATTTTAATCTTATCGTTTTAGGGAAGATGAGAGTGTATACACTTATGTCATTGTGATCGATTCTGAGCCATGTCACCCACAGTCTCTAACTATTAGTTACGATAGTCACACGGACCCCAATCAAGTAGTCTGCATCTCCCTACATGGCTCAGACTAGAAGTTTGTGACTTCAAGCACTGATGCCACGTTTTGGTTTGGCCTCCTCCAACTTTCTTCCAACCACCTTCAACACTGGTTAGCATTGCACGTCGTGGTAATCGGTGTTCAGGTATACATAACACGTGGCCTATCTATCTCAGTCGATGAAGATTCATTACCTCATCAACTGATTTAACATCATTCCCTAATACCCTGCGTCTAACCTCACTATTATTTATCCGGTGATCCCAGCAGACGCCAGCAATATTTCTAATTTACTTATGATCATTACTGAGTACGAATAAAGTTTGCTGTTTTTTTGCTTTAGCTTGTTGTTGTTGATTATATTTTTAATTCTTCTATACATACACTTAAAGATGATTCCTGGTTCGAAGCTCCATTACAATCGGAACTTGATTGTGGTAATATTATCTATTAATGCTATGTTTTTGTTTTTCGCTTCCATGCATCCCAATCAGCTGATTGCAATTTATTGTTCTATTTGATATATTTAATTGTTTCATGCTTTTCATCTTTATGCTTTTGATCATACTTGTTGTTTGTGTTAGAAATCTCGCTTGAATGTTATGATCATGCTTGACTATTATTTGCTGTCTATCTTGATGTTTCATTCTTATCTACAGTTTTATTTTCCTTTTTTTTGCTTAAAGCATGTGGTTTGACTAATTATTTTTCTAACAAACAGTTATATGTATAGTGTCTAGTGGTTTAAACACTCGCGCGCAAGACTGATAGGTCCTGGATTCGAATCTCGCAAAGCGGGATCGTGGATGTGCACTGTTGAGAAGTTCCACAATGGGATGAAATAGCCATCCAGTGCTTTTGTAGTGAACAATAACACGAGTGGGAACAATCGAATGTATTTGACACGAAATTGCAGAGCATCTCACTAAAATCTAAGAATCATATAGTAAATAGTTAATTTGCAAAATATCAATCCAACGTCTCAAACATGATTGTTCCTTTTGCGAATATCAGTCCATTGTCTTAGGTTTCATTGTTCATGCATTTCATATCAATTACGTTCCGTTCCTGTTCTTTCCTCATCGATCTTCTACTGAAATACATTCTATGCCTGACCACCGTTATATACTACTTATGTGGATATAAGTAACCCACACCACACTTTCAGGTTTTCTATGATGGTCTAGCTTCGATTGACTCATAAACCCAACCATTAGAATGAATATAATATCTATAAAACCCCTTCTGATACTAGTTATATGTATGTTGCCTTTAGAAGTTCTTTACTTGTTTGCTTATATCCTATTTGGTTGATGTGTGTAATGCGTGGGATACTTAAAATATCGATATAGATTTATTAAATCTATGTATTTATTGATTATACTTTGAATGATTAACGTTCCAAATGGAAATAAAAAAAGAATCATTATAGTTAATTGGATCTTTTTTGTGATCCATATTGTGCATGACAATAATGTGTTAGCATGGAAAATGTTTCAAATTTAATAATGATATACATTAATAATAACAAACAAATATAGGAACTTTAGTCCAATAATTTTTCAATCAATTTTAACACTTAACACCAAGTATATTATGAAGTTTATTGTGAATACCTCTGTCATACAGATGATCAGTCTTGGTATGAATTACTCAATGGTGATAGCTCCAACTGTAGCAGTAGGTGGTCGGGCGTAGTGGTCGCCTACACATGCTCTGGTACAACTGAAAGTGGAGAGAGTCAGTTCTCCTTCTCTAAATGCTCTCACATAGCCACGTACAATAAAACCACTTCCAGGGAAGTCCTTTTTTTACGAAATCGAGATGAAAAGCGAATATCCGTCGCTTTAACTGTGTTGGTGGATCCACCTAGGGGAGTTGGAAAACCTTGATTTCAAACCGATTGTCCTCATGGGTTACAGGATCCTAAAGGAACAGATGGCGTATGAACCTATTGTCGATGACCGGCTACCATAGGACTGTATCTACTAACGTTGCTTCACTATCTTGTGGATTAGACCTTTGGGTCAAAGTTTCGAAAACTGGCCCACTAAGAAAATCACCTGCTTCAATGTGGGTACCTGGGCAGTATCCCAGCGCATATTTATTTGGTGCCTCCTTGCACCAATGTTTATGTGTTTAGAATCTTAATCCAATGTTCTTCGTTGCCTCCTTGCATCATTTCTGATATTTGCTAAACGTTCTCTGTTACTTCGAGTGTTCCAACAATTTTACACCTGTCCAACTATGTACAATTATGTGGGACAGTTTTTTTTAACGTTTTCTGCTTTGCCGAAATTTTTGATCTTTTCTATAAAAAAGCTTTGTGTGGCTAATTTCAGTGTGGCTTTTTTTCACATAACAATTAATTCATTCAGTAAAGATGATTTTATTGTTATAATGCCATCACAAGTTCGTTTTATCAAACATCTAATAGTTGAATTCATGAGTCGATTACAGGTAAACCACCATAGAAAGGCTGAACGGTCGTTTCGTTCTAGTATGAGACTCCTCAGCAGTGCTCATCCACGATCTCTCTCGTGGGATTCGAGCCCAAGACCTTCGATCTCGCACACGAACGCTTAACCTCTAAAACACTGAGGCGGCATCATGAATTCAACTATAAGTTAGTACAATCTGCACACTCACCCTTTCTCATAATTATCAAAGATCGCCAGTTGCCTGTTTCTCTGATTCAGTTTTCTCAATTACATATTGATGATTTTTCTGACTAAATCGAACTTGAGATTTATCTATTTTGTATTAAATATCGTTACCACTAAACTTCAGTGGTTTGTATGTTTTTTTTGTTATTTAACCTCTTGTTGAGATACTCAAAACAGTCTCTTCGAGGTTTACTTTATAGAAGTTACATTATAAACATAAATAAAATTCGATTATTTAGGTAACTTTACATCGGTTACTAATTTATTGACTGTTCATTGTAGTTACTTTTACTTAAAACAATGCGAATTTTAAATGTATTTCTCTTAAATATTTGAATCTGTCTATGATTGTTAGCTTTGAATTATTACTTCGATATTTCTTCGAGTAAACTCTCCAGGAGAGTCAGTTCTCTCTCGAAATGCTGTCACATAGCCATGTTTATACAGCCACTGTCAGAGAACTCCTACTCATGTTTTACTGAGTAAAAACAATTATTGATCCATTTAAATGTCAGCTACCAAGTCACATTTTTGAATAACCCTTTAGTTTAAGGTAACCGAGTGATACTACACTAACCCCTACATTAAGATTAAGACTTGAAGCCGATCATATAAATGTTTACTTGATGAATTAGTCAAGTTAATGTCTTATTCATCTGATGAACATCATGATGTCACAAATTATCAGTATAGGGTTGTGGAGATTATTAAGTTTTTTGAAAACCTGAAAACACTGGACGGCCATTTCGTCCTATAGTGTTCTAACATCAATCGATTCATGATCTCAATCAAAAATTTAATAATCTCCACAACCCCATACTGTCAATTACCATGTGCTCATTAGTGATTAGCTTCGTCAGGGAATTCTCAGAGTTCTAGTGAGAAGCCGAGACAAGTGGAGTTAAACCATGTCGGGTAGAGATAAGTATCTACCTCAGTACAATAGAAAATGGTCGCCCAATTTCATGGATTAGTTGAGGTTAGACATTAACACCTTTGGATGCCAGCCAGCTCAGTGGTCCAGAGGTTAAATGTTCGCGCGGAAGACTGGAAGCAGCGAGTTTGAAACCCACAAGCTGGATCGTGGATGTACACTGTTGTAGAGTCCCATATTAGAACGAAACGGCCGCTCAGTGCTTCCAGGTATCCCATGGTGATCTAACATTCATCGATTCATGATCTCAATCATATCACTGTTTCTATTCTTTCTTTTTGTTCTTTATTTCACTTTTTTGTTTTATAGGTTCTACAGAAGATCAAGAAAATACTGAATCATTAGTAGGTAATGCACAAAATTTAATGCAATCTGTTATTGAAGCATTACATATTGCTGAAGGTGCCAGTATTAAAATGCGTGTTAATAATGGACAAAAATTTATTTGGCATCCACGTATAAAATCAAATTCTTATTATCATAATAATAATAAACAATTACATTCAATTGTACGTTAATTTATAAAAGATGACATGGAATTGTGTAAATGGAATACAATATTCATTTATGAAAAGAGATATTCAATAAGAAAGATTCATTCAGTCGAGAAGAGTTCTCTTTTCAGCTGAACTAATCCTTCTTGATTTAACATTGAATTGTATCTTTTCTTTTTATATAATAGAAAAGTAATCTTCCATGTATTGTAAATATGTTCTTCAGTATTAAGGTATATATATAACACTATTGAAGAATCAAGTGCTTTACCTACCTTTGGTGTTTTTATTCTTTTCTCTCCTTTCCTTTATATCTATCTTTTATCACTTCAATTACTTTATCTAATATAAATAATACTATGCCATTTGAATTTCATTCGTATATATCTATATTGAACTCTTTATTAGTTTTTGGTGGAGTTTTATTCTCTGAGCTGGATAGTTTAGTCGTGGAGCTTTCATTGTTCTTCTGAACGACATCATCAGCACTTTTATCTGAAGTTTGTGCTGATGATGTTGTCGTTCAGAATAACAATGAAAGCTCCACGACTAAACTATCCAGCTCAGAGAATAAAACTCCATCAAAATCATCCACCTGAGTTACAAATCTCCACCAAGTCTTTATTAGTGTATATTGTGCTTATATATATATATTTCATCTATTTGACAAATATGGATTGTTTCGTAAAATGTTTTCACTTATTTTCATCAGTCGACTTTGTACGTTTGTATGTGTGTTTCAGTGTGTAGATGAGACTGATTTCGCAATACAGTTTGATTTGAAGTTGTTGTTGTTGTTGTTAATCGTTGAAAAATTCCCATGATATTAAAACACAATTATATAAACTTCTTCGACCTTATCTATAAAGTATATGATTCTATGATGCAGTATCTTAATATAAAGTTCCTTTCATTTTTGTTATTGCAAAAGAATAAAACTATGAAAGTTTGTATATTGATTAGTTCAAATAGTTTCTTTTTTGTTTGTTTGTTTGTTTATGTTTCTTCTTTTTCTTCTTAGTGACCTGTCTATTGTCTTTGTAAGTAATTGTGTTCTTTGTTATTGTCTTATTCTAATATTTTACTTGTATATTTAAAGAGAATTAATTTTGTAAGTATTGTATATTGATATAAAATAAAGTGTTTCTTGAATCTTATGTCATATATTTAACCGGTAATATATATTTTACAATTTTGTTATTGTTACCATGGTTACAATTCAATGAAAGTAAAAATTTTTTTATTTATTTCAATGAAATATTCTTGCATCTATTTATATTTTATCTAATTATAAACAGCTTTCTTTTCCTTTATTCAGTTTGGCTTGTTTGTTTGTTTGTTTTTTATCTTTTGTTCTTGTTTTACTAATTTGTTAAGGATAAAACTAATTTTTGTCCATTTGAGGGGGGGGGGTAAATCATTTCGGGAAATTATTGTTGATATTAACTTGATTTATTTTGTTTTTTCTTGATATACATATATATATGAAGGTTTGTATATTGAATGGTTGTTTATTTTGCAATTTAGGCGCCAATTCATATGACAATAATATGCATAAGCTTTTTGTTTTTATTGTAATAAATTGCATGAAATTCTAATGAACAACTATAATGTGTTTTTACTAAATATCAGCTCGATTTATAGCTCTTCTATAGTTATTGCCGGTCTTAAGCCCAAGAGGAAGGTTGGGCATGGAATTTGGCGACCTCATCCAGTAGAAAAAAAGTCTTGTTAAAAAAAATGCCAACAAGAAAACAATACGTATAAAAATTGAAGCAGATGTGGAAAGGATTTTGCGAAACATTTCTTAACTTTGTAAAATACTTTCATGATGTCGTCCAAGTTGACGAATTTAGCGCTTCTACGAAGTTAGTCAGTGGATTCTTGTGAGAGACTGTCGTTAAAAACAACGGGTCGTAATAAGTGCTTTATTACTTTACTTTTGCCGGTTATGAATAACCTAGAATGTCCACAACTTAAATTGTAAAGTGTGAATATTATGGACGTCGATAGTATTACCCAGGAAGATCTAGAATACGGTTTCGATCTGATATTACTGAATGATTTCAGTAATGCTATATTTTTGTGTCCTTTGAGAACAAGGTCCGGATGCTGGAGTTGAGATTCTCCGTCAGAACGTGGTTGAGCAGTAATCGAAATATGTGTGCATGGAGTTAAGACTGATAAGTACGTCATCGATGAATTTCCGAAGGTTTTGCACAGTATTTCTTGAACCGTGACTGTACGAAAATGTATACAGTCTGTACGGAATGATGACAGCTGTTTCGCAAGTGTCTTCTTAAAACATTGCCTAAGAATGTCAATTTTAGATAAAACAGTCTGACGTTTTAAGTTAGTTGGGATATCATGGATGTATGGCAACGGGTAACGACCTTAGATGTTTCTCGTATTAAGTCGCTGATAATCACCAGTTGGTTGAATTCATTGATGTCTTTTCAAGCGACCATGTGAAATGAAGATTGTCATGGGCTTTTAACGACCGGATAAATCCCAAAACTATCATATTCTCGAATTCGCTTTTGGCAGGTCTAATCTAGTCGTGGCGCTTACAAATATACAAATGGTCATGTAATTTAGATGTAGTGTGTAGCTGAAGGTTGTTCTGGTCGTGTTTTGCAAGGCTCAAGGTACCCATCCCGTATCTGTTTGACGTTGAGATCGGTTATATAATGGAAAAAAGTGATGCAAGATCAACTATCTGATCACCTACTTAGGGAAGATCTAATAGACTAATCACAAAACGACTTCTTTAGAATAACGTCCAGCAATATATTCCTGATGAACTTCTTTCACGAGGTTACACGCAAACGTGATAAAAAATAACGGTTATACTGTATTTCGATATTGAGAAGCCTTTTGGTAAGGTAATTTGTAACGAAATAATCAACAGACTTAAGTCAGTTGGAAAAACAAACCCACTATTGCAATGAATTAAATCTTTTCTCAAGAACAGACACTAAATAACCGAAATTTACTCTGCTACATCGACCTCGCGGTCAATAACCAGTGGTGTTGTGCAGGATAGTGTCTTGAGTACATTGCTATTTACAATCCAAATCAACAGTATATGCAGGGTCTTTAACACAGATTAAACCTACCTTTATTCTGATGACTCAAACGTCATATACAGAACTGACACTTGCGATGTGCGTATTACTATGCAGACAATACAACATAAACTCATCAAGATAATTAATTGGTATAAACACTGAGGGTTAGATACATGCCTTTCAAAATGGAACTAACATCTAACGAGAACATACTGCCCAAATTCACATCAGTAGCCAATCTAGTAGTAAATTACTCACAGTCTTAACTTCCCTGAACATAACTCCTCCAAACCATCTAAATTGCGGAAATTGCTTAGCTCTATTCTTCGTAACTTCCTTCAAAATGAATCTAAAATCATTTTTTACCAGGTTTATGTAAGACATGTTGAATACTCTTATTTTCCAACGTACGCCCTTCTGATATCTTTCTTGTGAAGGGAATACAACAAGATTCCGTCCCTAGAATACTTAAGACCAGCTCGCTCATCGACTACAGTTCCCCAAGCCATGTCTTAGGACTAAAACCCCTATGGAAAAGACGGCTTTGAACCAGTATGATTCTCTTCTTCAAACTCTACAAACAGTTTACTTTATATGTAATTTAGTTCTTGCTTATTGCCTACATGAATACGACCCCCCATAACCAATAAACCGATTGGGATAGTACAAAAAACATTGGCACCAAGTTGATGTGAGTTCCTTCTTGTCTACTTTTCATCAGCCCTCTACTCTCAGGTGCACTATGCTGACATAACATTAACTTTATTTCACTACCCACTGCTTTATCTATAACTAATATACTTCTCTACTTTCCCGCCTACTTCGCTATACGACTCTCCTGAATCTGGTGTGCCATGTGGACGCGATGCCACTTTGGAAACATATTTTTTAAACTGCACTCAGTGTAATGCTAAAACATAAACCTAATGACTTACGCTCTGAGATATCTGCACAAATGTACTGTCATTTACTTTCGTTGATTAAATCTATTTAACGACTCTACTTTGGAATCACGCTGTAAACAAAGTAATGTTGTGGTTTATAGATCATGCCTGTAAAAATGGCGTGTACCTTTCCCGACAGAAACATATCATATGTTTAATCGTGACGAGACATAACCTGCGACCAGAAACTTAGGTTCCACAAACAGATAATTAAGCACCATCGTCTACTAACCTCCGTTTGTTTGAGTAGATTAGTAGGGTTTGGTATCATAGAACGTTTATGCAAATGATTGGCACTGAAAAGACTGAAACAACGAAAATCCAGTCAATATGTTATTTAGTAGCGCTGAACATTATATTAGTAAAGGCCACGACAGGATTAGATTTTCACTCAAGGTCTCAAAGATTGACTGATCACATCAAAAAAGTCTACAATGTCGTGATTAGGTCTATTATTAAAGTGGTATTAATACCAAACTAGGTCATAATTCTATAAACTCACGCACAGTAAAACGTACATCTTGCTGACTGTGGTGATAATGACATCATTAGTTTCACTTAACACACCGAAGCTGAATGCTCTGGGTCACACATCCTCATCAAGCACGTCGCTCTACAACTAGCCAGCTGGAATCACTTATCGACATACCGAAAACTCCTTTATTCCTGAATTCTGTTTCGACCGTCTTTGAGGTCTTCGATCATGAAGGTTTTAGAAACAACAGCCTCGTTAAATTTTGAATATTCATGAAATCTTACTGCTATACTGTAGAAATCAACAACGATCAACTAACAAAATATTATCCGTGTTGCACTGACAAAAAAGGTGAATTGTGGAAAATTCTTTCGAGTCAGTATTTTTAAACATGCAATGATATCATTGTCACTTGACCGTCCGGTTATTTAATACGCAAATAACGGAAATAATCAGCTTATGTTTCTGTATTCAGAAATTCGGACTAAAGTTACGAGCAAAATCTGAATTTCATGTGTACTGGCTATAAAAATT